GCGACCCAAGCGCACCCGCTTTCGTTGTAGTCATGCTTTACTTCAAAGCCTGGAAGCAGACTGCGACGGCATGCATGAACATCTGCCCTACCTTGTCTACCGTTGCAACGGGTCCTGGAGTTTCTCCACTGCCCAGGAAGCCGAGTATCCCGCGGGACTGTGCTACGAGATGGCGTCCCTCCTTTCCGCTGCAGCGGGCCTGCCAGGCCGACTTGACCCCCCAGCAGGCCCTCGACCCTTGTGGCCACAGCAGAAGGGCACCCGCAAACTCCTCCCGGAGTTCCTCGAGTTTAGCGCAACCCCTCCTTTGGATAGGCCCTTTAAAGAGTTCACCTCCGATTTAGAGGGTTCTAGCGGGAGGTTTGGGGTGTATAGAACGCCTCAGGAATTCGTTCAATGTGCACTGGAGCTTGACCACCCCTTCGACGTCCAGCACTGTGTTCCTGATGCAGTGAAGAGGAACATCTTTCGGAGACTGACGGAGGGACCTACGGCTTTCGCTTCGGAAAGGGTTCAGATGTTTCAGAAACTGAACCAGCTGGAAAAAGAACTTCGTTATGAAGAGGCGCGGTTGCATTCCGTGCTGCCCGAGCATGTTCGCGAGGTGGTCAAGGACAAGAATTTGTTGCTTTGGGCGCATCTTTTGGAGGAAACGTTGTTTGCCGACAAGGGCGTTTTCGAGCTGATGAAGGGGGTGGATCTTGTGGGCAAACCCGACAAGTCGCCGCTGTTCGACGTCAAAGAGGTCCCGGCAACTTCTGACGGAAACCTTCTTTTGGAATCTGCCAGCTGGAGAAGGGAGCGACTCAAAGGGCGTGACCCGCACAAGGACGATGCCGCAGCTAGGCAGAAGCTGTGGGACTGTACGATCAAAGACAGAGACAACGGTTTCTTGAAAGGCCCCTTTGCCTCTGAGAACGAGGTCAGGGAGCACCTGGGAGTCGACGAGTTCGTGTGCTCGCGGCGTTTCCTCATAGAGCAAGGGACCCCGGAAAGGCCGAAGGCCAGACCCATCGACAACTACAAGGAGGGGGGCGTGAACGAGGCCTACCACTGCTTGGAGAAGCTTGCCCTCTTTGATGTCAACTGGATGACAGCCATCAGCACGTACATAGCTAGAGTTTCTGATCCTTCATCGCCTTTGGAAGTGGAGCTCAGCTGTGGTGAGGTGCTCAGGGGCGAAATTCATCCACAATGGAAGTCTCGGCCACCTAGATGGCTGGGACGCACGCTGGACCTTGAAAAAGCTTACCGACAAGTTCCACTGTCGTGTGATTCACTGAAGTTTGGCGTTGTCATGGTCACGGAACCTTCGACAGGACAACACCGCTACTTCGTGGCGCAGAGCCTCCCCTTCGGGGCTACTTCGTCGGTATTCGCTTTTAACAGGCTGTCGAGATCGATTTTGCACCTGAGCTGGCATCTTCTCGGTCTGGTTTCTGGATGCTTCTACGACGACTTTCCTCTTCTGGAGGTAGACACTTCGGCAAAACTTTCTTCAGAGTCATTTGAGCATATGCTTCGGAAGCTTGGGTGGAAGTACTCAACTGAGCCTGAGAAGTCGCTGCCCTTCGAAGAGACCTTCGACCTTCTGGGGATTAGGCTGAATGCTGGCGGCATCGCTGATGGCGTGGTCTCCTTGCACAACAAGCCTAGCAGGTTGGACAGGATGAAAGACGCACTTCTCAGGATGAGCTTGAGTGGCAAATGGGACATTCACTCCATCCAATCGCTGCAAGGGCAAGTCAACTTCGCTGTCGGATTCGCTTCGGGAAGAGGTCTGAAGTTGCTACAAAGGGCTTTGGGAAGTTTTCTTCGCGATCCTGGGATGCGGACCGTTTCTGACTTGCGCTCGCTCTGCAGTTTTGGGGTGGATCTCATAGACGCCTGTACGCCTAGAATCTTTGCCTGCAGGGGACCCGTGAGTCCCGTGGTGATCTTTACTGACGCTGCCTATGAACATGGGATCGCATCTTATGGCGTGGTGGTAATTGATCGCTTCACCGACACAAGGTTGGTCGCTGGAGGGAGGATTCCGGATTCGCTGGTTAGGTTCTGGCGGCTGGATAGCCCTGAACAGGTGATCGGGCAGGCCGAGGCGTTCGCTGTGGTTGCAGCCCGACAATCCTTCTCTCGCCTGCTCACGGGAAGGAGGGCCATCTATTTCGTGGACAACGAAGGAGCGAGAGAAGTTCTGATTAAAGGGGGAAGCAGATCCCGAACGATGCTGCTACTGGCTTCGATCTTCTTCGAGCTCGAGAATGAAGATCAGGGAGTCACTTGGCTGGAGCGTGTGCCTTCTCAGAGTAACATTGCAGATCCTCCGAGTCGTGGTTTGGTTACGGAGACAGCAGCCCTGATCAAAGGTCGTGAGACTGCGCTTAGTATCGAGAGTCTGTGCGCGAAGTGCATGGCTACTGTACAGATACCCTGGGAACTCCTCAAATAGTTACGGTCACTTTTAAAGGGGGTTATGCGTGTTGGGGCAAATCGGTAACATGCACCTAAACAGCCAGTGCGCATCTCAACGCATACATGCTGGGTGCTCCAACCGAAAACCTTCGAAAGAACTCTTCACTCTTCGAACGCCTCGCTTTTGATTGACCCCTGACCGTGGAAAAAAGAGGGGAGCGTCCTCGTACAGAGTTTATGTGATCTAGATTCTTCATGAACATATTTTGGAATAGATTGGGAATCATTGTGAAAACTTAAAGACGGCGTTTTCGCGAAGCGACGAAGTTGTCTTTTTGTTTTCATAGCAGCCGGTTGAGCTGAGCAATGATTTCCAAAATCTTTACAAACTGTATTTTGAACTTCGACTTCCGTTTCTCTTGTATGTGTTTGAAGACACAAGCACAAGAGTGTGTTTACCGGTGATTTGTAGACTGATGTGGGAACCCGGGGAATCCTGAAAATTCCCGGAATTTTTGTAAATCCCCGGAAACCCCTGGCATGCCCCACCGAGGGACTGACATTAATCTGCCGCGCCGTTCTTTCAGCATGGCTCGTTTCGCACTGGCACACATTGCATGGCAGTCCATGATGTACGCAGATATGGACAATGCTAGTGCTGAGCTATGCTAAAGTTTTTCACCCGCCCTCCCACCCTCGGAGTTTTTCCTTACCGATTTGGAGAGGGGGGGTTATGCGTGTTGGGGCAAATCGGTAACATGCACCTAAACAGCCAGTGCGCATCTCAACGCATACATGCTGGGTGCTCCAACCGAAAACCTTCGAAAGAACTCTTCACTCTTCGAACGCCTCGCTTTTGATTGACCCCTGACCGTGGAAAAAAGAGGGGAGCGTCCTCGTACAGAGTTTATGTGATGTGGCCGGTCTCTGCAATGGGCGCTGAAGTTGTCGTTGCTCCGTCGGCAAATTGCTGTAGTGGTTTAGTGGCGCAAGCCAGTTGCTTGAAGTCTGTTAATGACTGTAGAGTCGCTGACGGCCATATCGGGAGTGTACAGAATCTGCTTTTTTTTCGGAAGCATCAGTGGCCAACGACTCGTCAGGGCGGGCGGAGCCCAGCAGATGGTGAGAAAGCGAGCAGCAGGAGGTTGTGGTGACCGTTGAGGAAGGTTGTGACCGGCGAGTCCAGCAGAGCCCAGCAGGAGCCCAGCAAGAGCCCAGTAAGCCCAGCAGCAAGCCCAGCAAGCCAGGGCGCCCGGCAGGCGCAAAGAAGAAGCCTAGCAGGGGAGCACACGGCAAACAGAAGCCGAAAGGTGGGAAGCACATGAGCCCAGCAGGAACCCAGCAAGAGCCCAGCAGCAGCAGCAGCAGCAGCAGCAGCAGCAGCAGCAGCAGCAGCAGCAGCAGCAGCAGCAGCAGCAGCAGCAGCAGCAGCAGCAGCAGCAGCAGCAGCAGCAGCAGCAGCAGCAGCAGCAGCCCAGCAGCCAGCACTTCCAGCAGGAGTTAAACAGGAGCCCAGCAGGAGCCCAGGAGCAGAGCCTAGCAGGAGCCCTGCAGGAGCCCAGCAGGAGCAGGAGCCCAGCAGGTCCAGCAAATTGGTGGGAAAACACATAGGAGCCCACAAATCCACCCATTGGGACAATAATTTAAAAGAAGGGGGAAGGGGGGGAGGGGTAGGTGTCTGTGGGAAAAGCAAGAGACACTCAAAGTTAGCTCTAGAATAGAATTCTAGTGTTATACAAGCAGGTTTGCCTAAAGGTCGCCCATTCAGTAGCGTTAACGGTTTGCTAGAGAAGTGACTTGTTTATGCGAAGCCATGTCTGGACACGAAATGCCAATGAAACTTGGTGCTGCTTCTGGAGGGCCTCCCTAGTTTGCAGAGGCAGAGAGATTTTGGACCACAAACACAGAAACCGCAGGTTTGAACCAAACTCCTTCTGGTTCGGCATGGGCAGTTTTTACAGCAGTTCTGGATTTACCTTTTCGATGAACCTACTGTTTTGAAGTTGTGCTTTTCTTGTACTTCGAGTTGTGCTCCCTATTACAGAGCGGGGGCAGCACTCAACGTAGATGAGGGCGTTCACCGACAGCTTGGCGTCGGCCCAGGTTGCAATGCCCCGTGATTGATATGTGACAGTATCGCTGCAGCACCGGGCAGTTGTTGCTTTCTTGTTTTGTGTGCGTTCCGCAATCTCATGCCACGTGTAGATGGTTCACTTGCCATCCTTTTGAGTCTGACTCCAAACAAGTACTGGCGCAACGAGTGCAAGCCGGTCGTGCTGACTTGTAGGCACGGAAGGACGAGAGACTACAAACCTAACCCCTCGAACCTCCAAGCTTGAGTCCGAGAAGCCTCAGATGTCGTACTGTCACCCGCGTCCAGCGCTTCTTCCGCAGATTTGCAGCCGGCGGCCGAGATCTCGCGTGTCCGGCATGCAGGGTTTGTATTTCCAGGGTTTACAGTGCACGTCAGTCCTAGACCTTCAATCGGCTGATTTTTATTCAAATCTTATGACATGACTGTGCCGCAACCATGGGGCTCAAGGCTGCGACAACTAGGTGAACTCCATTGCGGCACCAACTGAGCCCCAATGCGCATCGCTTCGCGTCCCAGTTACCAGGCCATACATGCTCAGAGAGGCGCACCCTCAGGAGCACAAGTCGCTAAGGAAGCTTGCCTTTGTGTGGAGTCCTCAGAGCCCAAAGGATGAAAGACAAGAGCGCAGAGAGTGTAGCAGTGAATGTGCAGTGTGGGGAAAGATGCAGTCCGAGGTCCTTTGTATCTATGACTTTGTGTCGGATGTGTGGGCGGCGCGAGCTAATGCCCATTCAGACAAGGAACCCCTTCACATTCTCGGCTACTTGGGCGCTGCCCTGTTGATGGTTTCTTGCGTGGTAAACATGATCATTCTCAAATGCGTCACACGAGTTCGTCGCCAAAAACTTTTCAGAGGAATCAACGAAGTGGCGCCTTCGCAGTTTTACATATTCAGCTGTCTTGCCTGCAGCAACCCAGAGGTGATGTGCAGCTTCCTCATGATGAGAGCAGATGCCAATCGGCCGAGACAGCTCCAGGAAATCCAAATCGCTATCCGCGAGATCAAAGAGTACGGCTTGGTGTCTCAGACGTTCGAGGACATTCCACAATTGGTGGTGCAAGCCTACTCGGTGGTCCTCTGCGTTTCCCACGGATGGAAGGTGCCTGTGCCAGTGGTGGCATCTATCTGCGGGTCGTTGGCGATGGTGCTTGTCAAGCTGTTGGGGAACTGCTTCGTGCCGGCCTCAGTCCGGCCTTTTTGTTTCTGGCCAGAAAGGCGACTAACAAAATGGGTCTTTGTGTTCCGGCCAGAAAAGGGACTAACAGGCTCTTTTTCTCGGCCAAAACGATGACTATCAAAATTGTTTTTTCTCCCGGCCACAGAAAGGTGACTAACAAAATTGTGTTGTTGTTTTTGAATATCTTGGGTCGGTCTGGCCACCCAAGGCCCTAACTGGCCCGGCGCCCTATGCCAACCCCAACCCGAAACCGGAAAGTAGCCAGAGAGTCAAACTGAAATACGTGGAGACATAAAGCCGAGGTGGTGGCCGTTAGTGCCACAGCGAGCAACGCAAGCCTGTCTCAGTTGGCAGCGGATCAAAATCGCCAGATCGTCCCACCGAATTCTCTCACAGTCATGCGCGTGTCGATCCAGGCCAGCTGCTCTTTGGTGTTTGTGTTAAACATCCGCCTCTCATCTTCAGATGTTTGGTCACCGTGCACTTCTTGCCATTATTTTGTGCTTTTTGCACCCTGCGCACACCTTGGGAGGCGGGGCTGCTGGCGGGGAACATCATGTTTCTCTATGAGTCTGGCCCGATCCCCTTGCCGATGCAAGTTCCTGGGCAGCTCATCGGAGTCGTAGCCATCACCTCGTCCTACATGGTGTCATTTCTCTTCATGATCTTGTTGGTGCGGAGGCTGCGCGACAAGCTTTGGCATGCATTGCTGCATCTAGAGCTGGCAGTGGTGTTGCTGTTCTTTGGAAGCCTGCACCCTGCTGCCCTCAGTCTCATGGATGACAAGCTTCCACTGCACGCTGGGTGTTGGTGGGTGCTGTTGCTTATTGGGCCAGCTGTGCGGGGTGTGACCATGATAGCTCTCCTTTCCTGGGCAGTTTGGATGTCAATCTTCCCAGTGCCTGAGAACATGTGCATCATCTTGTTGGTTCTCAATGGGCTTGGACTTGCAGACATTGTGGCTTCCGTCGACGAGATCATGAGCGATCAGAGCAACAGTCCATCTCCTGTAGTCTTCACCGTAGCGCAGGTCGAAGCGGAAGATGAACGATTGAACAGGGAGGCCGCTGAGGAAGAGGAGATGATCAAGCAGCTTGAAGAGCATCTCAATCAGTTTGGCTTTGAAGCCTACACTGACATGCTGGTAAGTGAAGGTTTCCACTCGAGGGAGCACCTGACGGAGCTGACTGCGGCTGAATTAGTGCAGATGGGCTTAAGCCAGCAGGAGGCCACGAGCTTTGAGACGAGAATGCGAAGGGTCAACGCTGGAGATGGAGCTCAAGACTTTCTGGTTCAACTCCGCAATCTTGGTGTTTCTACTGCCATTCTCCAAGGCAGGTCTGAGTACGAGGTGGGAGTTTCTGGGCGACAGGTTGCTGCCATATCAGCTGCTGATGGCTCCTTTAAAATTCAATGATGGTTGTCATGGGCTGACTGAGCATCTCTGAAGTTCCGCTTCATTCTTGGGAGAACGGTGAGGGGAGGTCCTAAGGGGGTGAACCCCGATTCAGCGCTGGCCTTTAGCCCGCTCTTAGCTCTTGCTTTTTTTTGGGCCTTTCTGTTGCCCCTTTGCCTCTGTCTCCCTTCCCCTGCAAAACACTGCAGCTTCGAGCGTCACGGCAGGTGCTCTATGGACGTGATGTGGGCCAGGAACTTCCACTGCGTGAGAGGAGACTATTGATGCAGTGGCGGCAAGAACATCTTGAAGGTCAAATCTTGACGGAAGATGTAGTGATGTTGGGCATGTCTGTGCGACGGGGCCCATCCTGGCGCTATGATCCTTGGACCAATGGATTCCACAGTATTGGTCATCGATTTGCTTGATTTCAATGTTGCAACATCCGTTTATCTACTAATCTACTCGAACTTATAGGTTTGGCATTCAATTTCAATCCCTGGGTTCGTCAGTGCTCACTACCTTTTCTTCTTTCATTTGTGGTTGCGTTGCATATGTCTGTCATTTTCTTCTTTCGCAGCCTGTCAACAAGGATGTTGAAGGCGCCACCCCGGAGGATGGAGAAGGAGAAGGTCGTGTTGTGGCATGGCGCACTTCAGCTGATCAAGTCAGGGGAGAACCAGCTCCATCGTTGTGTGGCTGGGTGAGAGTTGAATGGCTCGTGACAGGATACCAGAAATGCTATCGCCTGGGTGTGGGCACTGATGTGACCTTCGCAAGGGACTGTGATCTCGTGGTTGCTACGGAGGATAAAATCGACTTGGCCGAAGTGCAGAAAGGAGAGCTGCAGCTCAAGCACATGAGGTGCACCTTCGGGTACAGAAGTGGCGTGCGATTCCCTCATTACGCCAAGTTTGACATTCGCAAAGAAGCCATGGAGAAGGTCGCCGCTTTCCAACATGGTGATACTGTTGAGCACCAAACTGAGGCAGGGGCTGTGAGAAGTGTTTGCATCGGTGTAAAATATGACCCAGATGATCGGCAAGTGAAGATGTGGTTTCATAGCGACGGAAAGGACGGTGCCGGTCTTTACCACGGTATCGATTTGGAGAGGGACTTGACAATCGTTGCTCGGAATAGGGTGGGAGAAGCTAGACGCGATGAGTTAGAGGCAGCATCCGATGGAGAGATTGAGCATGATGACCGCGAGTGGGTCAGGCAGAATCTCCAACCATCTTTGACGTACAAGAGCTTGGCTGGTCAAACCCTCCGTGTTGACACCAGCGCAGCCAAGATAGCTAAGTTCAAGGTGAAGTTCAAGTCAGGGGATGTGATTCAAGATGCTGTAGATCATGAGAGGATGACCTGCATTGGCGTTGCCGTGAACCCTTCTCGTGCCTGTGCAGAGCTGTGGTTCCATGTTCAAGGTGCTCCCGGTGCAGGGGTGAGCCGTGGCTTACACAAGAGTTTGAGCCGCTACACGGTCATAAGCAATCATCCTGTTCAACAGGGTGAAATTGAAGAGACACCTGCTGAGAAAATGGCTGCCGTCCTTGAGGCCTTGAATGGCAACCTGGAGTGCACCTTCCATTTCCCAACAGGCTCGATAGGCCACGATGCAAAGTATGATGTCCGACAAGATGTTGTGAAGAAGGTCACGGGATGGGTCCCAGGAACTGTGTTATCTGTCGATGGTCATGCCGATATGAAGTTGACACTTGTTGGAATTCGCCCTGATGACAAGGGAGCCCCAGCAGTGTGGTGGCACATTGAAGATGCAGGAGTATGTCATGCAGGAGCTCGAATAGTTCCAAATCTGGAGGGAGTGGACCTCAAGGACACAGGCAGGCCGACTTCTGAGAAGGCTTTAGCACTTGTGGCATGTCTTTTATCTGTCATGCAAGTTGCTACACCTGATCTCTGGTGCAAGATATCTCTTGTGTTTTCATGCCCTTGAAAGTGTGAGGCAAGCGGAGGGACTTGGAGGAACTCAAGGGGGAGATTCGCTCGAGAGTGGGGCAGTCGGCTGGACTGCCTCTTAATGAGATGCTGGCGGCGGCGCTGCTGTCTCAAAGGAGGGGATGAAAGTGGGAGTTGTTGTTTTCTTGCGCTGTTTGAATTCAATGGCCAATGGCTTCTTGGCTTCTGCTGGTCGATCCTACCATCCTTTTTCCTCCTGGTCCACTTCCCCCCCCTCAGCTCTGGCTCTAGCACCCTCTTGCTCACACTGCATCCTCCAGTGTCTGTGTGTCCTTGCCGTGCTGCTGAGAAGTACTTCAGTGTACCCAAGTCCACAGTCAAGTTGTATAGTCCATTCATTTTGTTGCCAAAGAAACCAGTGTCGTGCCTGATCGTGGAGTTGTGGTAGAGCTGGATCTCGAAGACAAAGTGTTGCCGAAAAGTTTGTGCGGCAGGTGAAGGAGACATGATGCAAACTCACCGTTTGGGCTTCCGGTGCTTGCACGAATGAGATTGCCTTTCAAGTTAGACAGATTGGCGCTAGGCGATTGATGTGTGACAATATCGCTGTGCAGCTGGGCAGTTGTTGCTTTCTTGTTCTGCGTGCGTTCCGCAATCTCATGCCATATGTAGATGGTTCACTTGCCAGCGTTTTGAGTTCGACTGCCAAAACAAGTACTGGCACAACGAGTGCAAGCCGGCCGTGCTGACTTGAGAGGTTAGAGGAGACCCTTGCACGAATGAGATTGCCTGTCTAGTTAGACAGATAGGCGCTAGTCACTAGGCGATTGATATGTGAGAGTATCGCTGTAGGGCTATGCAGTTGTTGCTTTGTTATTCTGCATGCGTTCCGCAATCTCATGCCATATGTAGATGGTTCACTTACCAGCGTTGTGAGTCTACTGCCAAAAAAGTACTGGCGCAACGAGTGCAAGCCGGCCGTGCTGACTTGTAGGCGCGGAAGGACGAGAGGTTCGAGGAACCCTTGCACGAATGAGATTGCCGTTCAAGTTAAAACAGATTGGATGTGTGACAACATCGCTGTATCGCTGGGCAGTTGTTACTTTCTTGTTCTGCGTGCGTTCCGCAATCTCATGCCATATGTAGATGGTTCACTTACCAGCGTTTTGAGTTCGACTGCCAAAAGAGTACTGGCGCAACGCGTGCAAGCCGGCCGTGCTGACTTGTAGGCACGGAAGGACGAGAGGTTAGAGGAGACCCTTGCACGACTGAGATTGCCGTTCAATTTGAAACAGATTGGATGTGTGACAACATCGCTGTATCGCTGGGCAGTTGTTACTTTCTTGTTCTGCGTGCGTTCTGCAATCTCATGCCATATGTAGATGGTTCACTTACCAGCGTTTTGAGTTCGACTGCCAAAAGAGTACTGGCGCAACGCGTGCAAGCCGGCCGTGCTGACTTGTAGGCACGGAAGGGCGAGAGGTTAGAGGAGACCCTTGCACGAATGAGATTGCCGTTCAAGTTAAAACAGATTGGATGTGTGACAACATCGCTGTATCGCTGGGCAGTTGTTACTTTCTTGTTCTGCGTGCGTTCCGCAATCTCATGCCATATGTAGATGGTTCACTTACCAGCGTTTTGAGTTCGACTGCCAAAAGAGTATTGGCGCAACGCGTGCAAGCCGGCCGTGCTGACTTGTAGGCACGGAAGGACGAGAGGTTAGAGGAGACCCTTGCACGAATGAGATTGCCGTTCAAGTTAAAACAGATTGGATGTGTGACAACATCGTTGTATCACTGGGCAGTTGTTGCGTTCCGCAATCTCATGCCACTTGTACATGGTTCACTTACCAGCGTTTGAGTTCGACCGCCAAAAGAGTACTGGCACAACGAGTGCAAGCAGGCCGGCCTGACTTGTAGGCACGGAAGGACGGGAGGTCAGAAGAGACCCTTGCACGAATGAGATTGCCGTTCAAGTTAAAACAGATTGGATGTGTGACAACATCGCTGTATCGCTGGGCAGTTGTTACTTTCTTGTTCTGCGTACGTCCGCAATCTCATGCCACTTGTACATGGTTCACTTACCAGCGTTTTGAGTTCGACCGCCAAAATAGTACTGGCACAACGAGTGCAAGCCGGACGAGAGGTTAGAGGAGACCCTTGCACGACTGAGATTGCCGTTCAATTTAAAACAGATTGGATGTGTGACAACATCGCTGTATCGCTGGGCAGTTGTTACTTTCTTGTTCTGCGTGCGTTCCGCAATCTCATGCCATATGTAGATGGTTCACTTACCAGCGTTTTGAGTTCGACTGCCAAAAGAGTACTGGCGCAACGCGTGCAAGCCGGCCGTGCTGACTTGTAGGCACGGAAGGACGAGAGGTTAGAGGAGACCCTTGCACGAATGAGATTGCCGTTCAAGTTAAAACAGATTGGATGTGTGACAACATCGCTGTATCGCTGGGCAGTTGTTACTTTCTTGTTCTGCGTGCGTTCTGCAATCTCATGCCATATGTAGATGGTTCACTTACCAGCGTTTTGAGTTCGACTGCCAAAAGAGTACTGGCACAACGAGTGCAAGCAGGCCGGCCTGACTTGTAGGCACGGAAGGACGAGAGGTTAGAGGAGACCCTTGCACGAATGAGATTGCCGTTCAAGTTAAAACAGATTGGATGTGTGACAACATCGCTGTATCGCTGGGCAGTTGTTACTTTCTTGTTCTGCGTGCGTTCCGCAATCTCATGCCATATGTAGATGGTTCACTTACCAGCGTTTTGAGTTCGACTGCCAAAAGAGTATTGGCGCAACGCGTGCAAGCCGGCCGTGCTGACTTGTAGGCACGGAAGGACGAGAGGTTAGAGGAGACCCTTGCACGAATGAGATTGCCGTTCAAGTTAAAACAGATTGGATGTGTGACAACATCGTTGTATCACTGGGCAGTTGTTGCGTTCCGCAATCTCATGCCACTTGTACATGGTTCACTTACCAGCGTTTTGAGTTCGACCGCCGAAAGAGTACTGGCACAACGAGTGCAAGCAGGCCGGCCTGACTTGTAGGCACGGAAGGACGGGAGGTCAGAAGAGACCCTTGCACGAATGAGATTGCCGTTCAAGTTAAAACAGATTGGATGTGTGACAACATCGCTGTATCGCTGGGCAGTTGTTACTTTCTTGTTCTGCGTACGTCCGCAATCTCATGCCACTTGTACATGGTTCACTTACCAGCGTTTTGAGTTCGACCGCCAAAATAGTACTGGCACAACGAGTGCAAGCCGGACGAGAGGTTAGAGGAGACCCTTGCACGACTGAGATTGCCGTTCAATTTAAAACAGATTGGATGTGTGACAACATCGCTGTATCGCTGGGCAGTTGTTACTTTCTTGTTCTGCGTGCGTTCCGCAATCTCATGCCATATGTAGATGGTTCACTTACCAGCGTTTTGAGTTCGACTGCCAAAAGAGTACTGGCGCAACGCGTGCAAGCCGGCCGTGCTGACTTGTAGGCACGGAAGGACGAGAGGTTAGAGGAGACCCTTGCACGAATGAGATTGCCGTTCAAGTTAAAACAGATTGGATGTGTGACAACATCGCTGTATCGCTGGGCAGTTGTTGCTTTCTTGTTCTGCGTACGTCCGCAATCTCATGCCACTTGTACATGGTTCACTTACCAGCATTTTGAGTTCGACCGCCAAAAGAGTACTGGCACAACGAGTGCAAGCCGGCCGGTCTGACTTTCAGGCACGGAAGGACGGGAGACCCTTGCACGAATGAGATTGCCGTTCAAGTTAAAACAGACTGGATGTGTGACAACATCGCTGTATCGCTGGGCAGTTGTTACTTTCTTGTTCTGCGTACGTCCGCAATCTCATGCCACTTGTACATGGTTCACTTACCAGCATTTTGAGTTCGACCGCCAAAAGAGTACTGGCGCAACGAGTGCAAGCCGGCCGGTCTGACTTTCAGGCACGGAAGGACGGGAGACCCTTGCACGAATGAGATTGCCGTTCAAGTTAAAACAGACTGGATGTGTGACAACATCGCTGTATCGCTGGGCAGTTGTTGCGTTCCGCAATCTCATGCCACTTGTACATGGTTCACTTACCAGCGTTTTGAGTTCGACCGCCAAAATAGTACTGGCACAACGAGTGCACGCCGGCCGTGCTGACTTGAAGGCACGGAAGGACTAGAGGCAACGAGTGCAAGCCGGCCGTGCTGACTTGTAGGCACGGAAGGACGAGAGGTTAGAGGAGACCCTTGCACGAATGAGATTGCCGTTCAAGTTAAAACAGACTGGATGTGTGACAACATCGCTGTATCGCTGGGCAGTTGTTGCTTTCTTGTTCTGCGTGCGTTCCGCAATCTCGTGCCACTTAGATGGTAATCCGTGCAAGTTGTGCTCGGTCAGGGAGGGCAGGTGAATCCCGGGAGAAGGCGCAGGAGGGCAGGTGAAACGCGGGAGGAGGCGCAGAAGGCCGATTGAACCTCGGGAGCGGGGCGCAGGAGGGCAGGTGAAACCCAGAAGCGGGGTGCAGGAGGGCAGGTGAAACCCAGCAGGTGAAACCCAGAAGCGGGGCGCAGGAAGGCAGGTGAAACCCAGAAGCGGGGCGCAGGAAGGCAGGTGAAACCCAGAAGCGGGGCGCAGGAAGGCAGGTGAAACACAGGAAGGGGGGAACAGGAGGGCAGGTGAAACCCCGGAAGGGCGCCGCAGGAGGGCAGGTGAAACTTGGGAGAGGGGCCCGGGAGTTCAGGTGAAGCCCGAAATCGGCGCGCGGGAGGGCAGGTGAAACACAGCAAGGGGGGCACAGGAGGGCAGGTGAAACTCCCGGAAAGGGGCCGCAGGAGGGCAGGTGAAACTTGGGAGAGGGGCCCGGGAGTTCAGGTGAAGCCCGAAATCGGCGCGCGGGAGGGCCGGAAGGGGGCCGCAGGAGGGTAGGTGAAACTCGGGAGAGGGAGCGCAGAAGCGCAGGTGAAACCCGAAATCGGGGCGTGGGAGGGCAGGTGAAACCCGAAATCGGGCCGCGGGAGGGCAGGTGAAACCCAGGAAGGGGGGCGCGGCAGGGTACGTGTCGGGCAGTTGGGGGGGGGGTTCACCTGCACTCCTGAAGGGGGGGTTGGGGGGTTTCACTTGGGCTCTTGGTGGGTAGTTAGGGCGTTTCACCTGGGCTCCTGGTGGGCAGTTAGGTGGGCAGTTGGGGGGTTTGACCTGGGCTCCTGGGGGGCAGTTGGGGCTGGGCTTCTGAGGGGCAGCCGGGGGTTTTCACCCGGGGCCAGTTGGGGGGTTTCACCCGGACTCCTGGCAGGCAGTTGGGGGGTTTCACCTGCGCTCTTGGTGGGCAGTTGGGAGGTTTCACCTGGGTTCTGGGGGGCAGCTGGGGCGTTTCACCTGGGCTCTGGTGGCCGTTGCACCTGCGCTCCTGGACACAGTTCAGTGTGAGTGGGTCCCTGGCAAGGGGTTAGGAGGAGGGAGGCAGTGAAGGGCCTGTAAGGGGTTTGTGGTGGGCGGTTGAGGAGCCTTTAAGGGTCTCTGGGTTAGGAGGAGGGAGGCAGTGAAGGGCCTCAAAGGGTTTCTGGTGGGCAGTTGAGGGTGAGTGAAGAGCCTTTAAGGGTCCCTGGTAAGGGGGTTAGGAGGAGGGAGGCAGTGAAGGGCCTCTAAGGGCAGTTGGGGGTGAGTGAAGAGCCTTTAAGGGTCCCTGGTAAGGGGCAGTGAAGCTTAAGGGCCTTTTCTGGGACCTCCAGAAACTCTGAGAGGCCCTTCACTGCCTCTAAGCGTCCCTGACAGTTTAGGAGGTTTTAGGGAGGGCAGGATTGGTGAGGGTTTAGGAGGTTTAGCGAGAGAATAGGCGGGCAGTAACTGTTCCTGTGAGAGTTAGGGGGGGGGGAGGCCTCGATCTCCGGGCCTAGGTTCCTCTTCTACGCCTTCGATCGTGGCTCCGGACGATCTTCGAGGCCCGTTTTACGTACTAAGTACTTGCCAGTGACAGCCAGTGCCCTTACACATGTGCTTGGTTTGTGTCGAGCACTAGCGCCTGAGCGTGCTTGACTCAAGCAAAGCAAACGTGTGAGTCCCGGCGTCATGTGGCTGAACGAGCGAACTGGCGTGTTGCACCTTGACCACGAAGGCGAGACCTTGTGTGGCTCTACGGCGGCAGGTCTCAAGCGGGTTTTGACGACAGGGGTCGAGCACAAGCACTGTCAGAAGTGTGCCAAGCGGAGTTCGGCTCAGCAAGAGGTGCAGGCGCCGGCTGCTGAGGAGCCGGAGGATCCTGTGGAGGACGGATCTATGAGCATCTTGGACGTTGGAGTGGACATGACCTCCATGTCTCCTGGCCTGGATTCGCTTGCCGGATTGGAGCTTCCTTGGGTGGCTTCAGAGCCGCCGCAGTACATTGTGAACCGAGAGAGCTTGAATCTGAAAATGATTCACGAGGGTCTTGCGAGAGCCGCGACCCGCCAGACCCTGCTGTTCGATCAGCTGGTGTCCCTGGCTCGCACGTGCACGGACGTGAAGGCCACTACGGGCATTGGCCGTCGCGAGTACCTGACGTGGAGTGGGGCGGCTCCTCCTGGCTACGAAGGCAAGCAGTGCAGCGGTGCGACGCCGGAGCATCCAGTCAAGAGGGCGCGCAAGGCCGAGATGTTTGAGAACCTCGGGGTCGCCTTCATGCATCCAGTCACCCGAAGCCTGGCTCGCCACGGTGTGGCAATCTGCAGCATTCGCCTGACAACTACTGCCAGGCTGGGAGTGCTTCGGGCAATTTGCACCGCCCTCCTGGACCGGCAAGCGCCGCAGTTGTCCGAGTTGTGCGTGAACTTTGAGCGGCATGTTGCCGCAACTGCCCAGGACTTCGGGATGGGAAAGGACGAGTGCGCTTCCTTGTTTGCTGATGTGCTGCAGGGCACTTGTCCGGTGCAATGGCTGGATAAGCATGGTGTCAAGGCTGCGACTGGCTCGGCTTTGGAGTTTTTGGAGTTGATCCGGCTCGAGCTTTCGGAGATCCGGTGCGCTGCCTATGCGTCGACGTCTTCAAGCGTGTCGGAATGGCTCGAAAAGCACAGCTCGGCGCCGGCGGTTCATGCTCTGCTCTTCTTGCAAGACAAGGTGGAGAAGAAGATTTTTAGCGCGTGTTTCTCGGCATTGCGTGTCCAGGTCAGTGCAGGAGAAAGTGGAGTCTTCGATCTGCATTGTGCGCGAGAAGATGCTCAGGATCTGGTGGGGGTGCTCAACCGAGAGTTTCTACGTCACTTGGCAAAGCTGGATACGGAGTCTTTTTACAAGGGCAAGGCCTTCGACTTGCTGCCTTTGCATGATCCGTGGCAGTTGGCGGCAAAGGCGTGGCCGCATCTTGACTGGGAGTTGCCGGCCGTTATGCCCTGGAGAGAACTCGCCGAGCTTCGGCAGAGCTGCAGAGATCTGGTGAAAGCGGGCAAGACGGCAGAGCACAAGGCCGTGTTCAGCGAGTACGTGCACAGCTGCTTGTCGCAGACCTGCTATGTGGACCCCGATGACCATCTCAGCTGCTGCGAGGTTTTCGACTCCCAGACAGGCGCCTGGGCAAAGGTTCCAGAAAAGGTCTTCGCGGAAACCGTCCTGCGTGCTTTGAAGAGCCTGGCGTTGCCGGGTGCCCGATGCCAGAAGCCGTTGGAGGACATACGCTTCGCCAGGAGCTTGACCGTGGGCATCTTCACCTTGATCTCGAAGCAGAAGCCCATGGTGAAGTTGGACGAAGCAAACCAGCACCAGTTACTTTTCGCGGGTGGCATGATATGGGACTTCTCGAAGAACGAAAGCTACAAGGCACAACCCCACCACCGGCTTGCGACGAGTACTCGTTGCCCCTTGGCTCCATGGAAGCCCTCACGGGAAACGAAGATCTTCAGGTGGATCATCGAGTGGCTGATTCAAGCCAGGAAGGACAAGGAGTTCGCGAAGAGGGGACTGGAGGGCTCCGACTTGGGCCGTGCGATCATCGAGGAGTTCGAGTGGCTTGCCAAGGACGGTTGCGTCGTCCTGCAGGAGCAGCGTTCTCTGCTGGGAACCTGGACGAGGGTGCTCTTCATGGATCGCAACTACACGATGACAGCGGCTCCCTTCCATCTTGTTCAAGCCGCAAACAATTTGTACGGAGCATCTGGGGCCGGGAAAGATGCCATGGTGAGCCTTCTGTATCGCATGCTTGGCGGCTACGCCGTCACGCTTACAGGAGACATGCTGGTCTCCGGGGCCAATGTAAGCGGGCTAGAGGAAGCATGCCGGAACAAGCGCATGGTTGTGGGCTCCGAGTTGCGCTGCCAAAAGGATCCGAGAACCGGCTTTCTGAAGCAACTTCTGGAGCGAGAAGGCCTCCCCGTTGCCGGCAAAGTTGCGCGGCAAGGATTGCAGAACTGGTCCAGCCAGTGCTCTTTCTGGTTGACCTCGAACCACTTGTTGCCCTTCTGGAAGGACGATGCCCTGAGCCTCAAGGTGAACTTGTGGACCTTTGACCAAGTGTTCGATGCCGACCCCGTCGGGTACCAGGAGCAGGCCACCGACTTCATGACAAGGATCAAGCAGGGCGAGTTTCATGGACAGGTGCAGTGGCTCATCTTCGGCCTGTCCGACTCCCTGACTCAAGTTGCCAACCTCGGGAATAGGATCTTGCCGCGGCCTCAAGACATGAACGATGCCATCGATCAGCTGATCCAGGAGACAAACCAGCGTCCGAAGCGCCTCCGTGATTTCATTCGAGATCACTGTGTGTTGTCTTCCAGAGGCGACGGCACAGGCGTCGTGATGTTCAAGCGTGTCGCCGCGAGCTACATCGGTTGCTTGAGTGAAGAAGTGACGCCTGTGATGGCTCGACTGGGCTTGCGGGGACAATCTCGCGGCGCCTGCGCGACCTCGGACAACAGAGGCCTCGTTGTAATGCTGAAGCGCGCCGACGGCTCAGAGACGGCCTTGAGGCTTCGCCCTGGCACCCTGGAGAGGTTCTCGAGCTCGATTCCCTCAGCCCTCGCAGAGGTTTTGGATGGGAACGAAGCTGCTGTGCCGGACCCGCTGGCGCAGAAGCTTGACCAGCTTTGGGTCGATGACGACACGCAGACTGCTTTGCCAAGCGAATCTGCCGCACAGGATCTGGCCATCGAGAAGCTTCGGAAGGCTTTCGGTGACTCGAAGGATGCCTAGACCGAATCCGCATCCTTTTGTGCGTCCTGTTGTGACGCGATCAGAGTGTTGCGGCTTCTTTTAGTGCAGAAGAACCTGCGAAGCCAAGCGTACTGGACAGAGAAGCATCGTCAATGGATCGTTGTGCTTCCGCTTGAGCTTTTTACGATTTAATCCGCTGCCCAAAGTCTAGAGCCCCAAACCAGCACAGGGGCGCCTAGAACCCAAAGCAGCACGGGGGCCACGCTCGGTTTCTCATAGTGATGTTGGACGCAAAACCTTTAAAAGGACATATTCGCATTGGAAGCCGTTTGTGGATATGCAGATGCCTGTGGAACACGTAGCTTTGAGCTTGCCCTGTACAGTCCTCTGAAAAAATCTAGCGACTGAGATCGATCGGGTTTTTTTCATGAGGGGGGGGTGCACGCGTCTTTCCATCAGACATGCTGCGCGGCGTGATTTTTTGCCCCACGAACAGCAACTAGCGAGCACTTTGCTTGCATCCCTACCGGCTGAGAGGCCAAGGTTCAGAGCGATGTTTTCGGTCGCTCAGCCTGGTTACAGAGACAGGCTCACGGCCTGTGTGTTCGACCGACCCTTAAGTCCTGTACATGCATGGTCGAAATCGATGCGTCTGGGGGAACAGACTCTGCATGAGAACAAAGTCCTGATACTGCATGCGCTTGCCGTATCCACGGAGAGCATCCGGGCCATTGGAGACCGAGCGTGTTTAACTAGCATCCGTGCTTTTTGGGGACCGAGGTGGGAGGTTGTAGGGCATTGGTAGTACAGTCTGCTTTTAGTGCGGCCTACCAACTTTGAGGCTGGATGTGCTTGTTGTTACAGTGAGCGTTTGTCCCAAGTGCGCAGCTCCCGTGCTTCTCACGAGCTTTTTCAGCCATGGAGGCAAGTGTGGCACGTCTTGAGTGCCTCCCTGGTGGTGCGGTGTCCATTGTGATGTCCCTGTTGACCGGCAACGACTCCGGCCACGACGGACTCCTCGACCGTGGCCGTCAGCTCGCGGTCTGGTCACTATGCTGCATGAGCATGTCGGCGAGTGATGAGCGGAGGGCATGCCACGACTCCTTCGTGAATTGGCAGAGGAAGCTTGCCCGGGAATACTGGGCAACGATGGCTGGTGCCGATATCACCCCGATGTTGCTAGAGAGCCAGCGCTACGCCGTTGACGATCTTTCTCGGAGAGCTTACTTCAACCTACAGTTGGACAACGTCAGGGGGGTCTTCAACGAACACGTGGAACAGCTCCTGAGATACAGGCCTCAATCCTCCCGGCTCTTTGTACGACGTTTCCATGACAGAGTTTTGTGCGACACCGAACATCCTCGGGACATTCTGAAGCGTTTGATCGAGGTTCCTATGTACGAGAACCCTAGCAGGGCCTACCACTCACACCAAGAACGCCGCCTTTGGCACATTGGTGGCGCTGCAGAACTGTGGTATTGGGCAATGGGCCTCGACGAGGTAGCCTCGATGTCGTACAAGGAGGCCTATATGAGTAAGGTTGCGGCAAGGGTGCGCATCGTCTTCGAGGACTATGGCGAGGACAGAGCCACGGCTTTCGCCGTCAGACTCTATGAGAAGCTTAGCATTGTCTGGGGCCCTTTCACTATGCCGACTCGGCATAATATGACGCCTGACGTGGTTCTGCGGTGGCAGTGGTATGTCGAAGTCATGTTCGCCATCAAGTCAAAGGCTTGCTCAGAAAGAAGCGCTCAACAAACACATGCTGAAGCTGAGGGCGAGTAACGGTTTGGACACTGCCATGGGCTTCGCGGACAGGGCCATCTATGAAATTCGAATGCACCGCGACAGAGCCCAGCAACGTCTGACTGAACTTGCCGGGATCTACAGTAGGTCACGCTCCTGAATTCCTCGCGTTCGCATTGCGAATGAGCCTTATTCCCGGCACAGCCGGGGTTTTGATTGCATGTTACAGTTTCCGTGTGCATAACAAGACTTTGCCACGAGGTCCGGTGGTTTTTGACGTCGTAGAAGCCATGCTCCAAAGCCGAAGCCCGTACCGAACACAAACCACCGGCTACAGATGCACGTGTCTTCTAAACCACGTGTCAGCGTACAGATGATGCTCGCGACCCTTGCATGCCTAGACTTGTACAAACCCCCGCCGGTCGCACATACTCACGCTCGGCAGCCAGGCCGAAAACAGTTTGACGGCCACATCGAGCTAGCTTGGAAGCCTGTTCGGATTTGGGGTTAGCCTCCTGCAACCTGGCAGGCCTGCGCAACATCATCGAATCCGCGGCGAAGGTCTCGGGTGTCCGTGGTGCGCTTTGCAATGTGTGGAGCTGACACGCACACTCGCTTGGCATTACGTGTGTTACTCCGACGGTTGCCTCCTAAACACCCTACCCTAAACCCCAACCCTCCCTTCGAACCTGGCAGGCTTCGTTGTCGAGATCTTGGATCAGGCTCGCCCTGCCCGCAGAGCCGTGGACATGCCCTCTTGATTGCTTGTGTTTCTGAGCCCTAGACTGCAGAGCTGTGGACGTGTCCTCTTGGTTTCTTGCGTCTCTTTAGTGTTCAAGCATTTTGTCGATTTTTGGGCCTCGGTCGCTGCTTGAGCGTGTGCCATGCTCAATGAATGGCAAGCAGTCTGGAAAAGTGTCGTCGTGCCCCAGCTCGTCGAGTATCTGAGCCCGGATGTGCCCTTGTATGAGGATGTGACCTCAGGAAAGCTGGACATTCGACAGACGACCCCCTATGACCACATGGATATCTTCGTCATGTTCTGCCCTGAAATGGGCGAGGACGAGGACGAGGACCTTCCCGATGAACCGATTTTCGACAGGGCCGTGGAATGGTACCGGATGTTGCTAGACGTCCAAAGCGTCATTGCCACCGCGAGCTTCCACCCCAGTCTCGTGCAGCACATGAACATTTTGAGATGGTTCGGGTCGTCTGAGTACATGCTTGTTGAGTACTACAATGCCGTCGAATACCACATTCGCCTCGATCGCTTCGACGATGATGTCACAGACATGTTCCAGGATGCTTGGGTCCCGCTCTCCGCCTTTGGGCCCACCCGGCACGGGCAGGCCAGGGCGTTTCTAAACGACGTCGCAAGGGCATTGGAAGGCGAAGACCCGCCGCGGCATGCAGCTGAAGTTATGAGGTCGCTGATTGATCGCCACGGCTTGCAGTGATCGCGGTCGCAAGATTTAGCAAGTTGTATTGATGCAACTCCAGAGTACAGAGGAGCCATCTCTCATAGCAGGAGAGTGGCCCGCCTGCACGGTACAGTTCGTGCTACAGAAGCTGCGTGCTTGATGCAGCGACAGAACTCTCCCCGCCAACGGCGCTAAAAAGACCTTCTTGCGGCTATTGTTTATGTGGCACCCCTAAACCCTAAACACTAAACCCTAAACGCCGTGAAGTGCAAGAGAGCGTGAGGGTAGCTTCTGATATTGTGTGCACTGAATACCCGATTCCCCGTCTTTTGCTTGGCAGGCTTTCATCATCCTCCATTCCGTGGTGAGGCACCCGTTCCAGCAAAGCGTTGCAGCAAGACACACCTGGAAGTTTTGCACATGAGTGTTGTTGACTTGCTTAGGATCTACTCGGTTTGATGCTCTTGATGCTTGGTGCTCTTGATGTTCCGCGTTCTTGACGCATGATTGCCCTCGCGATGCTCTTGATGCCTGGCGCTATTGGTGCTTGACGCTCTTGGTGCTTGATGGCTGCGTGATGCTCTTGATGCTTGGTGCTCTTGATGCTCTTGATGCTCGAATCTTAGCGGTAAGACCCTGTCTCTAGCCGAGTCTCTGCGGGAGTTCGGGGTAGAGACTCGGACCTGTCGGACTCGGGCCGGACCAAACCTCGACCCCCAGGCCACACCATGGCCCAAAAGATTTTGCGCGCATTTTACGGGCACTTTTGACCCTTCTAAAAGCCAGCCATAAGCCCCCAGGACCGCGTTTTAAGACGAGTTCCCGCCAAATCAGAGAGGAAGGACTTGCCCCCACAACCAAACAGCCAGAGACTACGCCACAACAGAGGCCAGTTTTGAAACACAGATACAAGAGAGAGCCAGTCCATCAGGTGCTCCGCCGCCACCATCCCTCCGTGGAGCGCCCACGCAGTTCCCACCAGCGCCGCAGCCCCGCCCGCCACTGCGAGGCCTCCTGCTGCTGCTCCCATGCCCGCAGCCGTGCCCAATGCAGCCTCTCCAAACAGCGCCAACGCTCCTGGCCCCTCCGCTGCAGCTGCCGCTTCTGCGGCCCCCGCAGCCACTTCTGCGGTGGAAGCGAAGCCTTCGGTCGCCTCGGCCTCGGCCACCTGCTCGCTCATGAACTGCTCGATGTCTCTGGGCTGCAGCTCTTTCCACCTCCTGGGCTCGCTGTCCCGCCTGCTCCAGAAGCGGCTCCACTTCACTCGGCCGGCCGATGATTTGGGGTGGAGCTACTTCGTCGGGTGGGGGCGCAAGACCTTCGGGTGTGCGCGGAATGCGTAGGTTCCGGTCGATCCAGTTCCTTCCCCTGCGCGCTGCGTTGTATAGGTCTTGTCCGTGCCCCGCAATGGCAGAGGCAGAGCCCGCCAATCCCGCTGCAGCTCCCGCGGCGGCTTCCGCCTGCTACATCCCTCTCTCTTGTATCTGTGTTTCAAAACTGGCCTCTGTTGTGGCGTAGTCTCTGGCTGTTGGGTTGTGGGGGCAAGTCCTTCCTCTCTGATTTGGCGGGAACTGGTCTTAAAACGCGGTCCTGGGGGCTTAGGGCTGGCTTTTAGAAGGGTCCAAAGTGCCCGTAAAATGCGCGCAAAATCTTTTGGGCCATGGTGTGGCCTGGCGGGGTCGGAGTTTCTTCGAGTAATTGGATTGAGTCCGCTGATTTAGGGCAGAGACTGTGGTTCTATGTGCAGAGACTTAAGTCTGGGAACCGGGAACCCCAGGGATGTCAATTCTTCGCAATTTTCATTTGAGCAACGCTTGAAAGCAGTGGGAGTGTATGCTGCAATGGCCCACATGTGACCTGCATGTGGCTCGACTTTGTGGAACCGGCGTGCGTCGAAGGACACTGGATTGTCGTGCATGTCCAGCCAGGATCCGCGAAGCTGATGAATTTTGTTTTTCATCACAACTTCGTCCAGTGACGTGCCTTGTTCATCTTCAATCCAGATCTTGCCTCCAGCAAAGCTGCCCAGTGCGATCGCATAGTTTGGCATGCCAATCATGTTCCCCATGTCGCGGTGGAGTCCTATGTGAGGGTTCAGAATCACTGCGAGGGAAGTCCATTTTCCATTTGGAAAGCGATCTCGCAAGAAATGATTGACTGCGACACATGCTTCTTTCATGGCGGATGCTTTCGACATGCAAGGGGCGTTCCCTCCAAAAGCATACAGTCCCAGGGTGCAGTAAATGTCATATGATCCCGAGCCAATGCCTCGTTGGCGTCCGCGATGCTTCCATTGTGGTGACCAACAATCCAGCAGGTTAACCAGATTTTGCTCAGAAGGATTTTGCATGACAGCTTCACAGGCAGCTGACAGCCCAGAGCTCATTTGTCATGCCTGCAAAGAATCATGGCGGGGCAGCAGGCCCTGGATTGAAGTCTCGCAGTTGCCTGATTGCCAGCGGCACTGGTGGGCGGGTGAGTCTCGCTTTAGGCTCAGCGCTCCCGCGGGGCACGGGTAAGGCGTGCTTTAGTAAGGTCTCGGAGCCATCGGTGGCCCTGACCACCATGCTGTCGTAGGATGCCACATCCTTGGCGGTTCCATATTGGGGCTCGAAGCTTCGTCGCGCATTGGTTGGGGCCCGGAAGGCCCCCATCTCCTCCAGTCTCTCTTGCCTGCGCCGGGTGAGCTGCATGTTGTGTTGGAATTTTTTGGCATTGTCCTGGTACAATCGGAACATGGTGGATTTTTGGTGTTCCACATCCTCGGGGGCCGCATGCACGGCCTCGTGGGGCCGGCGGTTGTAGGCCAAGGTTGCGTCAGGCAGGTGCTCGCTCCAGTTGCCCCCATGTCGGGCCACGTCGCTGGCCAGGTCCCGTTTCAAGGTTTGGATGGTTCTATCTACCACTGCCAGAGCGTTCCGATCCGAGGGATCCTTCACTCTGTGCACCACGGGGTCAGGCAGCGCCCCCTCCAGGCCATTGAATTCAACCCCTTGATCCGTGGACACAACGTAATTGGTCTCCTCCTCCACCAGCTTCGGGATGATCTCCCGGGCTGCTGCCGAAACCGTCTCTGTCTTCTTGTCGGGCAGGGCTTTGGTCACTGCTTCTCGGGTGAAAACGTCTGAGACAATCAGCCCGTACTTGTTGGCCCCCCGAGTGTTGACGTTGAAGTCGATCAAATCAGCTTGCAGCCGATCGTTGGGGCCCTCGGCTGCACTCTTGCCTAAAGACCGGGGCTTGGGGGCCAAAATCTGCCTGGCCACGTCGTCCCGCAAAGCTCGCGCGGCTCGGGCATAGGTCATGCCCGGCCGGTCCGGGAATTCCCGCCGTGCCAGCTGGTGCAGCTTCCGCACATCGCGGACCGAGAAGTCCGCGGCCAGCTGCCGGAATAGGTTCACGTTCTCCGCATCCATTTTATATCACTTCTTCTCCAGGGCCTCCACACGAACCTGGAGCCCCTGGCAGACACCCCACAAAACGCAGCACATGCGGTTGTAGTCAAGAGTGGTGAGCTCTCCCAGCTCCTCATCCACGAGCTTGCCGCACAGCGCCTGGCCCACGGGCCCCGTCTCCTGCACTTCATTCGCAATGAAGCCAACCGTGCGCTTCTGGCTGCCCTGGGTCCGCCGGTACCACTTGGGCGCCACGGCGTCGAACAGCTCCTGCAGCTCCTCGAGCCCCGCGGGCTCCACGCTGTGCTTCAGCTTCTCGTCCGAGAGGTTCTGGAAGCCGTAGTTCACGATCACCTCCCCGTCGTTGACCCCGCCCGTGTTCGATTCCACGATGAGGTTGGCCGGCCCGGCCGAGGAGGTGCGGAAGAAGATGGCCTGGTTCGGCGCGAACAGCTGCACGCCGCCCGCGGAAGCAGCCTCCAGTTCCCCTTCGCCCGAACCGCACTCCAGACGCAGCTTTGCGTTGCCGACGGGCGCGAGGTTGACGACCTCCGCCGTCACGTCCCCGCTGTTGACGGTGGCCACGACCCGCAGGTCCCCCTGCGCCTGCACGCCCGTGCTGCCGCCAATGAGCTCCAGGTAGGCCGGGCTCGAAACGATGCCGTTGTCGGCCCGAATCGCACTGGCGGTGTAGAGCACCGAGTTGAGGTAGGTCCCCTGCGTGCCGCCCGTCAATGTGAGGTAGTCGTCTGTGGGCCTCGCCCGCACCGTGGGCGCCTGCAGCTCCGTGCTGAGCTCCACGCTTCCCGAGGTTAGCGTGCCCTGCACGTCCAGTGCGCCGTTGACGACGGTGCCCCCGGAGCCTCCGGTAATGGTGAGCTCCGTGTCCTGGACCCGCGTGGAGATGGCGTTGGTCACCAGCCCCGTGGCCGTGCCCGTGGCGTCGTCGATGTAGAGCTCCGTGTCCACTCGTAGCCTCGGGGCTATCGAGTGCACCTCCGCCGTGGCAAAGGTGCAGAGGCTCTGGTCCGCCTGGTCCGTCACCCTGACAGACACGGTGCCCGCCTTCAGGTTAAGAAATTGATTGGTCGGAAGCAGGGGCTCCACGGTGTCCGCCTGGATGCTGCCGGCCGTGGCGATGCCCAGGCTGCTGTCCGCGAAGATTCGGCCCATGGTCAGCATGTTGACGCCCGTCTTGAGGCTGAACTGGCTCGAGGACAGGTCGGCCACGGCGGCCCCGTTGGAAGCCTCGAACTCGATGCCCAGGTTGCCGCCCCGCAGCGTCAAGAAATCCGCTCCGTTGGCCCTCACGTCATTGACCAGCAGGGGATCCGAGGGCGGCGCACCCGCCAGCGCATAGCGGGCGTCGCTTTCGGCCTTGCTGTAGCAGTCACATGTAAGCTGCACCGTGGCGGAGTTGCCCAGGATCAGGTTCGCTCCCAGGGGTGCCTGGGGCAGCAGCGCCCTTATCATTCTTGGCGTGAAGTTGTCGAGCACCATAGGAATGATGCCCCCACCCCCCGCGTTGCCGTTGACCACATGGTACCTGGAGTCCAGGGGCGTGAAGTCGCTGTTGGAGAAGTACCTCCCATCACTTTCGCTTTTGCTGTCGCAGTCACACGTAAGCTGCACCGTGGCGGAGTTGCCCAGGATCAGGTTCGCTCCCAGGGGTGCCTGGGGCAGCAGCGCCCTTATCATTCTGGGCGTGAAGTTGTCGAGGACCATAGGGATGATGCCTCCGCCTCCGGCGTTGCCGTTGACGGGATGATACCGGGCGTCGCCCTGCGCTTCGGTGAGGAGCCCAGAGGAGCTGATCTGGCTGGCGATCTCCGCCGAGGTTTCGCCCTGGTCCCAGTAGTTGGTCAGCTCCGAAGCAATGGAGCTGTCGATGTCGGCCTGCGTGGCGTACTGCGAAACGTTCAGGGCGTCCACGGCGCTCGATATCTGCGCGTTCACCTCGGCCTGCGTGTACGTCTGGCTCTGGTCGTAGGCCTGGCACTCGATCTGCAGCGTGTTGCCCGAGTTCTGGAGGCTGGCCACCAGGGGCCCGGCGAAGTGCAGGTTCCGCAGGGCCTGCCCCGTCAGCAGCTCCCAGGTGGTGTTCCCGCTCCAGGCGGGCGCATTGGAAACAGCTGCGCCCGTAATGAGGGCGTCCACTTGCGCGGAGTCGTAGTAGGATGCGAGCGCTATAGCGATCTCGTTCAGGATGGGCTGCTGAAGCCCGGTCCACGGCACGTATGCACTCAAGTCGATGCCGCCCACAGCCGCGGCAATCGCGGCATCCATCTGCGTGGTGGTGCTGTACGGAACCAGAGCTGCAGTGATGGCTCCATTGGTTTCGCTGCTTGTGTAGTAGCTGCCCAGGGTGGCCAGCACCCAGGACTCGCTGGCCAGGGGCGCCAGAAGAGCATTGACCTCCGCCTGCGTGTACGCATCGCAGGCCAGGCTCAGCGTGAAGTTGTCGTTCTCGAGGGAGACGCTCAGGGGAGCGTTGAAGTGCCAGTTCCTAATTGTGTTCGTTCCGACCAGCAGATCCCAGGTCGTCTGCCCGGACCACGCCTGGGCGTTGGCGAGGTTCGTGCCGCCGCCCGTGGTGAGTGCCGCCAGGGCTGCTGTGAGCGCATCGATGGCGGACTGCAGGCTCGTTTCGGAAGCCGAGAGGTCCGCCGCCGTCGCAAAGGGCCCCGCACCTTGCAGCGCCAGGATCTCCGCGTCGTGCCCATCCAGGCGCACATCTCGCACGGCCAGCAAGCTGTTGAGCCCCGCGGTGTCCGTGTACCCCGCGAGTGCGGTGGCAAGCGCTGCAGCCACGTCGGCAGCCGACTGGAAGCCCGCGGCTTGCAGCACCGCCAGGGCCGCCTCGGCGGCGTCGAGTCTCCCGTCGCGGAGGGCGAGGGCGGCGTCCAAGGCCGCCTGTTGAACGTACGCGAGGAGGGCCGTGGCGATGAGCTGCGAGACGTCCGCGGGTGTGGTGCGCAGGGCCACTGTGCTGCTGAGGTCGGTGGTGGTTGGCCGGTCCAAAAGAGCCGTCGCTATTTTCTGGTCGACGTCCGCGGCTGTTTGCCGGGCCGCCACGTCGAGGGCCAGCTGGTCCTGCGTGCTCTTCAGCCCATAGGTGCTCGCGACCTGCGCGAGCACTGCATTGTCGGCGCTGGTGATGGCACTGTTCATGGAAGCGTTAGTGGGATGGTTGGCTAGCTTGAGGTCCACGGAGGCGGGCGTGCTCTTGGAGTTCACGTCCAGCTGCAGCGCGTCGAGGGCGCTTTGGTTCGCTTTCCCCGCCAGACCCGTGGTGAGGCTGGTGCTGAGAGTGGTTATGGAAGAAGCGTTGCCGGCGATGAGGCCCTCGGCGGCTGCCAAGTCAGCTGCCAAAGCGTAAGGGGTCAAATCGGGCGGTGCCGGGATGGCTGCCACCTGGGCCTGCAGTGCCGCGACGGCGGACGAGTTGGTCCCGATGGATGCGGTGTTGGCAGCGGTGTCTGTGAGGGGTGTGTAGGCCGTGAGGACCGTTGCGAGCTGCCCCGCAGAGATCCCCTGCATCTCGATGGTGGTGATGGGGGTCTGGCCATCGTTGAGGATGTTGCCGGTGATGGTCGACTCAAAAAGACTCATGTTTTACTAGTCGAGGGAACTGACCCCAGCTCCTGAGAGCGTCACGAGCTGGTAGGAGAGCATGTGCACGAAGCACTGGTCCACGCGCTCCGCCTCCATGTTGCTGAAGCTGAAGCGACAGAGGTCGCCGGAGCGGGTCGAGATGCCCGAGAGCGGATGCTTGGGCACTCGTTCCACCGGGAAGGCCGCGATGAACTGCGTGTTCCCGTAGAGGTTGTCCCGGATGCGCATGTTGCGAAGCTTGGAGTCATAGGTGCCCGCATCTCCAAAAAGTGGTGCCATTCGGCGATGCTCTCGTTGGCCGTCCTAGGATATTGCAACGCACCCAGCTGCAGCTGGCCCTTGAGGTTCCGATTCGCATTCGCTCCAGTGGTCTTGTTGAACGTCACAAAGGCGCCGAGCAATTTCGTAAATGCCCGTGCTATTGTAATATTGTAGCTGGTGGACCCTGCGGGGATGCTGGAGAGCTGCGTGTGCATCGTCGGGAAGCTGAAAACCAGGCTGCGGCCGCTGGTCATGATCCTCTGGAAGCTCTCGCGAAGGGCGGAGTCGAGGGTCACCTGGGAGGCGTAGAGCTTCACGTTCTCGATGGTGTACTCCTGGCTCCCGCTGACGTTGCGGGCCCCGTCGGTGGGGTCGCAGAAGGTGATTTGAAGAACAAGGCCGAGCTCGGGGGGCAACATTTTGCCGCAGTTGAAGATCCCGATGAGGTGCGGGCTCATGAGCACGGTGCGGGAGCCCGAGGCCGGGATCTCCTCGGCGTGGCCCCCGCCGTCCGCCAGGAAGCCCTGGATGTGCCGGTTCAGCCACCACTCCTCGTTCTTCAGGAGGCTGTAGAGGTACGAGCAGCGGTTGTAATAGGAGATGTCCTCGATGCGAGTGCCGTTCGCGAAGACCTCGATGCGGTCGATGAGACAGCTCGGGTCCGGCGAGGCGAGCTGCAGCGTCGCCGTGGTGGAGGTGTTGCGCACCGTGAAGCCGAGCTTGACGCTCTCGCCGTCCACGAAGTCCATGCCGCTGGTCAGCGGGATGCGGCACACGCGGCTCGTGGTCGGCGTGAAGACGCTCAGGGAGCTCGGGTAGTACTGGACGTCTTTGCGGCTCTGCACATAGTTAACGTTGGAGGTCTCCAACCGAAACGACAAAGACTGGACCAGCTCATCATTTACGGCAGCAGTTACCTGCTCCATACTGTTTACTTGTAGCGAAAGATTCACGCGGCCTCCGGCTCGCTCGCGCTTCGAAGCGCCTCGAACGATGGGGGCGGTGCGGCGCGGGACGGCCTCTGCATGCGAGGCCCGCGGGAGGACTCGCTGCCCGAGGACTGCGCCAAGGGAGCGGGGTTCAAGCCCGTGGGGAAGCGCGTGGGCCTCGCGGGGCGAGCCTGCACTCGCGGGGGCGGCTGGGCCCGCGGCTCCGATTCGCTGTCGGTGTCCATGCGGTAAAACTGCGGGCGTTGCCGTGAGGCCTGTGGCTCCCGGAGCTGGAAGTGCTGCTCCGCCCCAAACTCCTGCATCCCATTCAAGGTCTGGATGTCGGGGGCCGAGCTGGGTCGGGAGGCGTCCGTGTCGGTTCCTCCGCCTCCACCCCAGCCCAAAAGGTGCTCTGCCGCCACCATGCCGCCGTGCAGTGCCCATGCGGTTCCCACGAGTGCGGCCGCCCCGCCTGCCACAGCCAAGCCCCCCGCCGCTGCTCCCATGCCCGCAGCGGTGCCCAATGCTGCCTCGCCAAACAGCGCAAGCGCGCCCGGACCCGCTGCGGCCTCTGCAGCACCTGCCGCTTCTGCAGCCCCCGCAGCCATTTCTGCTGTGGAAGCGAAGCCCTCGGTCGCCTCCGCCTCGGCCACCTGCTCGCTCATGAACTGCTCGATGTCTCGGGCTGCCGCCCTCTCCACCTCCTGGGCTCGCTGTCCCGCCCGCTCCAGAAGCGGCTCCACTTCACTTGGCCGGCCGATGATTTGGGGTGGAGCTACTTCGTCGGGCGGGGGCGCGAGGCCCTCGGGCGTGCGCGGAATGCGTAGGTTCCGGTCGATCCAGTTCCTTCCCCTGCGCGCTGCATTGCAAAGGTCTTGTCCGTGCCCCGCAATGGCAGAGGCAGAGCCCGCCAGTCCAGCTGCAGCTCCCGCCCCGCAGCGGCTTCAGCCTGCTGCATCCGGCTGAGGAAGCTTGGCGGTGCTGGGGGCTGAAACCCGTCGTTTCTTAGAGCCTGCCCGGGGTCCACGGCCCCAAAATCCGGTTCGCTGTCCATGTCAAAGGGCCGTGGGCGCAAAAAATCCCGGCGGGGGAAGGGCACTCCATCGTAGCCCTCGTTGGCATCCTCGTAGGCTGCTGCAGGGTTCACGGTCGTGTGGGGCAGCGGGGCTGGCTCGGGCTCGGAGCTCTGGGGATAGTCGTCCAGCCAGAAGTGGCTGGAAGTCAGGATGCTGGCATTGCGGTTTGGGAGGTCGATGGGCAAGGGCTCGCCCTCAGCGATGTAGCCCAGGACCTGTGAGTATGACGGCCGTACGCGGAAGCCGTGCGCACGCCGCTCCTCCATGTCTTTACATGAGGCCGCCATAAACCGCAGAGTCGCTAGTGTTGCGCCCGGCAGCCACATCGCGGGCCACGCGACGCACGCCCGCCCGCTCGGCGGGGGCCCACCTCAACTGGGGGATCCTCCTGTTAACGGCGTCGACTGCACGCCCCACTTCATCCGTATAGGCCTCGCCTTCCTGGCGCTGCCGCCGGTTGGCCAGCCACTCGTTGAAGGCCCGAGCATCGATCAATTGCTGCTGCCGCTTGTAGAGCAGCGGCGTCAAGTTGTAGCTGGGATACTGCTTGTGAAACGCCCGCAGCATCGCGGCCTCATTGCGCCGCTCGGGGAAGGGCATCATCTCTTTTTACAAGTCCATTGTGTTTGCGAGCAGGAGCTCATGGAAGCGGTCGGCTCGCGAGAGCTGCCGGGCGCGGCGAGCCTCCGAGGGCGTCATACGCACGGGTTGCTGGGGCTCAGGCGGGGGCTCTTGTGCTCGCTCCTGGTGGGGCTCTTGCTGCGGCTCCGGTGTCGGCGACTCAGCATGCTTCGGAAGCTCCGCCACGGCCACAGTCGGGGGCGGCTTTGGCTTGTTCTTCGAACCTGGCGGTCGCCCTCGCCGTTTGGGTTGGGGCGCTTCCTGAGGAACCTCGGTCGGCGGCTCGGCCACCGCGGCAGGCTCGGCAGGCTCGGGAGGCTCGGCCACCACCGGCTGCGCGGGAGGCTCGGCCACGGCGGGCTCGGTGGCCACAGGAGCGGGTTCATCCTCAGCCATTTTCTTTTCCAATTATTTTTTTTATCGTTCGGTGTCGAGGAAAACCACAAAGGAAATGCTGGTGCCTCGAGTGTTCACGATGTTGCCCTGGTAGTCGGTGAGCTTGAAGCGCAACTGACGAGGGTTATGGGCCCGTGCAGCTGAACCCAGTGCCCCTCTGACGTCTCGGTCTCCATGACGTGGCCCACACCTTTCGAAACGACGATCTTGCAGAGGATGTCGTGCCCCAACGGGCCCACCGTCGTCTCCCCGTTGGCCAGTGTTGGGCACCTGAGGTACAGTTCTGAGAACGGATTCATCGTCACAAAGACGAAGCGCTGCACAGAGCCTGTGAGGTAGCTGGGGCCGAGGAGGTGGTTGATGGACAGGGGCTTGCTGGGCGAGGCGCCCGGCGGGTAGGGGGCCGTGCCTGGGAAGCGTTGCCGGAGCTCGGCATCGTTGAGGATGAGGCGCACGCCGTCGTAGGTCACGTCGAGCTCATTTGTCTCGGCGGTGTAGCTGGCGGAAGCGAAGTTGCTGCTGATCCACGCAGCCAATCGCGGCCCTGTGTACGCCCCCACCGGGAGCTCCGCGTAATGCAGGGTGCCGGCGACCGTGTCCTCCCAGTACAAGAACGTCCCGCGGTCCGTGCTCAAAAAGGCGTCAGCAACGCGGACCTTGTACACCGCAAGTTTGGCGCCGGATTGAATGTGCACACTCTCACCGATGTCGAAGGAGAAGCTGCTGTCCGTGCCCTCCGCGCGGAGGCGCGAGTCCACGTAGATACTCGTCATGCCCTTTTTAGAACGGCGCCTGAAAAACCGGGTGGGCCGCGCCGAGAACTCGCTGGCGTTGGAGCCATCGGAGGTTTGCCGGGGCCTGTCTGGTGGGGGCCAGTGGCTGGGGTCGTAGATGCCCTGCGTGCTGGTGCAGCACCTTATGTTGCTGCACTCACTTTCGCACATCGGGCCTCCCCCCAACAACTTGGCCGCCATCTGGCTCAGGAGCGTCCCCATTTAGCAAGAACTTCCGGTCGAAGCGCACCCAAAACATGTCTTCCTTGGGCGCGCGGAGGTTAACGAACCAGAAGCTGTAGGGCTCCCTGGTGGCCTCCTCGTACATGGCGTAGAGGGTTTCTTTCGGGAGCATGGCGCTCAGCTCCTCCACCAAGGCATCCAGCTCCAGTTGGTTTCGCAACCGGAAGACGCAGTAGAACATCACGTTGACCCGCACGGCGGAGCTCATAAGACGCAGCTTCTGGGTCGAGACCCAGGTGTTGATGCAAAAATGTCTGCCCCTGATGAACAGAGTGTCCAAAACGCCATCTCCCGTCTTGCGGTGCACAGCTGGATTATCGGCATGATCATCCAAAACTACCAAGACCGAGTACAGTTTTTTGAGGCCCAGCTCCTTGCTCTTCTGGGTGATGCGCTTCTGGTCCGCGATGATCTTCCGCAGCGCCCCCTCGTCCCAATCCTCCCACCAGCACTGCTCCCGGTCCGTATTCACGCCCAGCTCGTCTCGGATGTAATCCTTGACAGGCTGCCAGGCAGAGTCGACCTCCACCGAGGGCGAGAAGATATAGATGCGCTCGAAGCAGCCCCGGTATTGCTCCAAAATCATGCTCACAAGGAGTACCGTCTTTCCGCTTGCAGATGGAGCGCACAAAATACCGTTGGCGGGGGGCTTGCAAACCACGGGGTCAGGCGGCTGCTTGACGGAGTACTCAGGCGTCTTGAAGAGACGCACCTTGCCCATTTAACCCAAGTGTTGCGCTCGCGGCGATCTCGTCGCACAGCGCAGGCGGGATGGAGTAGAGCTGGTCCCGCGAGTTGCTCCCCTGCCGCCCCTTGGTGGGCCCTCGCTGCGCGGCCTCGGGGTGCCGAGTTCCTTGGAAGGCCTCGCAGCGGTCGCCCTTGCGGCAGGGCCCCTGGGAGGGGGTCCAGGGCAAGTTGTGCCAGATGGCCGTGGGCTTCTTGTAGCGGAAGCCGTACTTGCAGTACGTGACCCGGTCCATGTGCAGCCCTTGCATGTAGGGGCGGGTTTTGAGGCGCCCGGTGCTCGGGTTTTCGATGGCCCACCACCGAGGCTTGAGGTAGTCTATGACCTCCAGGGTCTTGAGCACCAGGGCATCTCCGAGCGGCAGGTTGCGGGGGCGCTTCTTGAGTGCGATGCTGAACTCGGTGCAGCAGGGCGAGGCCCACACTGCGTCGGCTCGAAGGCCTTGTAGTCCCATTGCAGGATGTCGGAGCAGATGGTTGGGCTGGCTTTTGGGTTGCTGTCAAGACTCGTTACCTCCCAGCCACGGGCCGCGAAGGCACGTCCGACCGACCCCGTGCCGCTGAAGAGTTCCAGGAGTCTCATTTGTTGAAGGAAAAGAAAAGGCCCACAGGACCAGCAAGCATGCCAGGGCCACCACGCACTCCGCGGTGGCGACGGTGGCCGGCATTTTTTTTCTTGTCGTGAAAAAAGAAGGAGCGATGGAGCCCAAAACGGTACTCAAGCTCGGTGAGCTTACGACCAACCAGCGTGGCGGCAAGTTCTTCCCGGTGTGCGCGGAGGCCTGGCGGTCCCACGAGTGGCTGCGCATCTTGTGGCACCCCAGCCCCTACGGCAGCGAGACGGAAGCCCGGCGACTCCCCCTGTGTCTCGAGCAGAACGAGGCCGCCAAGGCAGACCTGCAGGCGATCGAGAAGGACATCAAGGGCCAGCTGACCCAGCGATGCCTCCACGACTCTAAAATCTTCGGCCGCTACCTCACTGCGTCGGACGTGGAGGGTCGCTTCGTGTCCTGCCTCAAGACCTCCTCACGCGGGAACAGCTTCATCAAGCTCAAGGTCGATTTGTCCCGAGTCCACTTCTGGGACGCTGACCAGCAGCCGCTGGAGGATCCTGGCGACCTGGCCGGTCGGGAATGCAAGGTGCGCGCTGTCGGGTCAGTGTGGGCTTCTGATGGAAGTGACGGACCTGCAGCTCAGAGAGGCCGAAGCCCCGGCCTTTCAGTGTCCGTTCTAGAGCACGCTCAGGAGCTCGCTGCTGGTGGCCCTGCTGCTCCCCACATAGAGGTGCTTGAGGGTGAAGTGCGGGCTCTCGGTGTCGCACAGGAAGACCCGCCCTTCAAGCGTCAGGCCTTGACACGAGGCGTAGGTGATGGCGTGGCACAGCCGGGTGTGTTTCAGGAGGGCGGCGTGGGTGAAGGAGTCGCCGCCGTCCAAGACGATCTTCTCGGGGCCCACTTCTGCCACATGCACGTAGATGCCTTTGGTCACGCGGCCACCGACGCCGATGAGCTTCAGGCCGGGCCAGACCCGCATGGTCTGCGGCATGTTGGTGGTCGTCGGGCCAGTGCCGGTGTACTCGATCGTCACAGCTTCCGGCGGGGCCAGGCGACGGTTGTCCCGCGCATTGATCCTGATGCGGTGGGCGTGGGAGATGACCAGGCTGACATCGGGCTCGCCTTGCCGCGGAAACCTTTCCCGGGCCGCCCGGACCGCTTCCGGCAGGGACTGCTCCCGGGGCTCGTCGACCCGGAGCCACCGGAGGAAGTCGAAGATGCCCGGGTCGCTCCTCCTGTTCTCGGTGAGCTCGTGGTGCCAGCCGTCGGTGAGGTCGTGGAGCAGCTGGCAGTGCTTGAGCTCCCACTGCACCGGGGTGCCCGCGAAGTTGTCCATGACGGCGGGGAACTGGCGGAAGTCGCCAAGCAGCAGGAACTTGACTTTGCGGTTCATGGAGACGCAGGCGATGTCGTTCCACAGCCCCGTGTCGAGCTGCGTAATCTCCTCCACCACCAGCCAGTCGATGTTGCAGTAGCCGTTCCGGACGGTGCTCCGCACCCAGTGGTCGGCCGTTTCCGCCTGCATTCCAAAGTTCTGCACGGAGGAGTGGGTCTTCGTGATGATCTTCACCTTGTACCCTTCTTCCCGGAGGGCGGTCACGATCTGGCGCGCCAGGTGGGTCTTCCCGGTGCCCGGGTAGCCGGGCAACCGTGCCGTCGAGGTACCTGAAGGCCGTCAAAACGGACTGCGTCGTCTTCCAGGACCTGCCCAAAAAGTTCCAGGGCCTTGTGGACAGCCTGGTCCGCGAAAGGCATCCCGACGGCACGCCCGTGTACCGATGCGAGGAGGTCAAGGGCCTCGAAGGCCAGTATCGGATCCCCCGAATCGAGGCGGAGTGGATGTGCATCCCGGATTCTGGAGACGGCGACGTACTCCGAGGCCATCACGAAGTCGTGCACAGGCCGGCAGCTCCGGTTGGACAACAACTGGGTCACGTAGATGTGATCCCAGTGCATCCCGCCCGCGGCGTCCGAACAGCTCCCGGTGCTGGCACCCGGACCCGTCGAACTGGTGGTTGCTGGTGCGCATGGTGTAGATGAGGTTCATGTTGCGTGCCCACAGCCCGATGAGGGCATTCACCGACAGCTTCGCGTAGTGCTCCTCTCCCTCCGGCCAAGCCGCCTCCATTTTCTGCAGGGCCTGGGCCACGGACTCCTGGTCCACGTGCGCCGTGGCGTCCAGGCTGTACACGAAGTCGCTCCACGTCGCAAGGCCCTTTTCCAGCATGTAGGCCACCGCAGGCTTGGCGTACCAGCCCTGGCCCACGTAGGGGAGCTGCTTGAACGCCGCCCAACGCCCGTCCTCCCGGAGCCTCACGTAGGTCAGGTCCGCCAGGTGCCCTTCGCGGGCTTGCTCAACGTTGTCCTTGGGGCAGAAGATGGGCGCCGGGAACTTGGCATGGGCCAGACCGTTCTTGCGGCACCGCACCACGTCTATACCGTGGCAGATGTGGTCCGGCTTGTGGCTGTTGAGCTTGAAGACGAGCGGCGGGAGTCGAGGCGATTCCACGTACTGCTCGTAAGCCCGCCGGCTGAAGCGCGACTCCAGTGTCGTGGCGTGCGAGGACTCCAGGGCCGTTTTGTTCCGGTGGCACTCGAGGCACAGTGCCTGGAGGTTCTGGGCCTGTGCGGCGAAGGACTGGTGCACGGGGACGATGTGGTCCAACTCGCACGTGGTTGCGGTGATGGGGGCCGCGCAGAGCTTGCACTGGTGGTCCTGCTCCGCGAGCAGGGCTTGCCGAGATCCGGGCGGATCGCGGCGGGCCTTGAGAAGGTGAAGGAAGACCTCGCTCGCGGCGCCCGCCAGACGCTGCCCGCAATAGGGGAGCCCCAGCCGCCCCATCCAGGCCTGCAGCACATCCAGGTCTGCGTGGAAGGCGGAGATGACGCAGTCCTCGCCGCCCCGCACCCTCAGCCGCAGGCACCGCCACTCGCTCAGGCTTCGCATGACCACCTTCGGGCAGTGCCCCTCGGCCAGGAGCTCCCTCCGGACCTGCTCCAGGTCTTCAGTGTAGAAATGACCGCTGGCGACCTCGCCCTCCCACTCCCGCCAATCCTTGAACTCGGGCGTTTCGCCTGGCTTCCTCTCGCCCCGGTACCTGGCCCGCTCCCCGATCGGCTCGCACTTCGCGACGGTGCGGGCGGATTTGTAGAAGAAGGCGTGGCCGTTCCAGCTCGTGAAGGCCACGGCCCGCTGCTCCTTGACGGTAGGCTCGTACTTGTCCAGCAGGCGGCCCTGGCAGTCCACGTAGAACATCGGGGCCTGGCAGAATTCCCGGATCTCTCGGGGGGTGATGCCCTGCTCCCGCCACGTTTTTTTGGTGCAGATTGCGTCGAAGTCCGAAAGCACCTCCTGCAGCGGCAGCCGCATCAGCTCCGCGAGCTGCCGAGGGACGCAAAGCTTGTCCGGCCGCTGTTCGAAGGCGGACTCTAGGATTTCGTCGCCGCAGTACAGCTGGTAGGAGACGTCCCGCAGAGCCCCCAGGGGCTGATCCAGGACGGTCTCCACCACCACCCGGTCGTCTACGACCTGCATGGCCTGCTGGCTGAAGGTCCACTCCCTCGTTGCGTCCAGGTAGTAGGTCTCGTCGGACAGCTCCCAAATAATGTCGTTCGGCTCGGGGTGCCCGAGCTGCGCGAGCGCGGACGCCTTGAGGTTCCGGGCCGCTTGGGCATCCGAGAGCCCCTCGCTCTGCCGGGGCAGTGTGACGTTGAGGTCCGTGACGGGCAGGCGCTTCGTGCGCTCGTAGGGCATGCCGCGGTTCCGGCCGTTTCGCCGGATGCCGCGGATGATGACGGGCACGTGCGCCACCCAGTCCACCCACTTGTCCTTGAAGAAGCTCTTCCCGAGCTTGGTCAAGTGGTAGTTCCCGTTGGGCTGGAGGCTGCGGAGCAGCTTTTTGGCGCCCCCCCGGAGCATGATGTAATCGTTCGGGCCCTCGCGGAGAGCGCACGCGCTTCTTGAGGCCTGAGCGGAGGAGGATGTAGTCTGTGGGGCCTTCGCGGAAGGGGCCCGCCGCCCCCAGGGCATGTAATCGTTCGCACCCTACCTCCAGGGGCCCGCCGCCCCAGGGCGGCGGGCCCCCCTTTGCTGATTCCGTTTTTTTTGGGGAGCCCGCCGCCCCATGTGTTGCATGTTTTTGCTTGATTTTTCGCATGATACTGACTTTTTTTGTGCGTGATTTTGGCATGTTTTTTTTTGAATAAATTTTGTGCTTGCTTTGTTTTTGGCTAGAGTGCCTGTCCCGCGCTCGCTCCCTCGAAGCATGAGCAGGCAGCAACAACAGGCAGCAGCAATCTCTTGACACGGCTTTCAAATCGGACAGGGAGCCACTTCTAGTAAGACAGTAGACAAAGGACTACCACATCTTGTTCTTGTATTGAACGGCGTCCGACATGACTGTCTTGTGAGTAAGGAAGTACCTTTCTCTTGATTCCATGCTGCCTTCGAGTGGACACAAGCCGTTTGTGCCGCCACGGCTAGCTGAGGAAGACGAGTCGAAGATGACAGACCTTACGGAGCCAACGAGCCCACCCAGAGTGAACCAGCTGTCCTCAGACTCCAACAGCATAGTGTCTCCTCTTCGCCGCCTTGCGCGGGTCGCAGAAACCCAAGCGCAGTGCGACTTGGATGAGGTTGTGCTTGCGGGCAAGAGGATGGATGCCAGAGTTGAAACGGCAAATCTTGCTGCTTCCTGCGTCTCTGCGTTGAAGGCATGCCAAGGCGTGGAAGAGAAACCGGACACGATGGCAATCGAAATCAATGAGAACAGCACGTTTGCTTGGCTTTATTTGCTTCTCATGGTGGTTTACAAGAATAGCTTGCGGCAACAGACATCTCCGCAGACCGTTCAGGAGAAGTACACGCAAGCGCGGTCAGATTATACCGGTGCGGCAGATGATTGTGGTTCTCTTGGAGTCTACTTGAAGTCTATTTGGCCTGAGCAGCATGAACTTTGGCCAATCCTATCAATGCAGAAATCACTCGATCGCGTGACGCGGTGTACAATTTGAGTCACGTTTGTTGAACATCAAAACCCAAAATTATCCATTGCCTAACATCCTAAGTTATCCGCTGTCAGGTCTATGAGCTTGCGGGTGAAGACGCGCAAATCGACATCGATTAACAAACTGGATAGCATGACAAAGCCTGCAGAAATGTGGGCTTTCTACAAATCTGCATTATCATCTTCGATGCGAAGCAACTCTCCCGTGTCATCTTCGGTGCTAAAGCGCCTGGAATTTGCGATGGATGAGTTCGCTGCGCATTACTCCAAGACAACGAATCCCGCAGCAGTTGGCATGGTTCATGTTATCCCTTTCCGCAAGGCTACCGGAGAGATGATCTTTAAGGTTGGAAAGAGCTCCTTCGAGTTGCGCAAGTCGGACACTACCAGGATCCCACTAGTACGTTGTCTAGAGCGATACAGGAGCATAATGTTGCAGGGTGATCTTCAATGCGTCGGCATGCCGTTCTTATTCTTGACTTCGTCATCCGGTCGTGCGCAAGACATAGAAGGCCATCTCGCAAGAGCAAGATGTGAGTACGAGTTTTGGTGGCCGCAAGAATGGCGGTCTATGTGAAATCTATCGCGAGACCGCCAAGGATGTTATACTTGACATGTTACGTCGAACGTCAATGCTCTCACAGTTGCAAATGAATGAGGCCCGAAAGGAAATGGACAAGAAACGCAAGCGACAAAGTAGTCGCTCAGGAGCTAGCAAGAGGGTACGCAAGAAGCCAGCCGCAGTAGTTGTGGTGCATGGAGCAGCCAACTTTTCCATGTAGAATCGCTGCCCCGAACGCAAGCGTCCCGTACCCATGTGCATATGCAGAACACGAAGCAGCCAACTTTTCCATACAGAATCGCTGTCTATCGTAGATCCCCAGCATGAGTGTCACATGTACAGCATGTCCCTGTATAGCAGTTTCAGTACGACAACCCTCTCTCTCTTTTGCCGAATTCTCACGCGGAAGCCCATGGCCCGTGAAAAAGGTGCACTGCAGGGTTCGGTAGTGTTTGTGAGGGAACCCTAAACGCTTACAGGCACTTCAACGGCTTTGACCTGCATCCTAAACCCTTAGAGGCCCTTCAACGGCTTTAAACTCCGAGAACTTATTTGCAGGGGCCCGCCGCCCCAGGGCGGCGGGCCCCCCTTTGCGGATTCCGCACCCCTCCCACGTTTTTGGGGGGGGCCCACCGCCCCAGGGCGACGGGCCCCCTTTGGTTGCGGTACTGTTGAGGGGTTGGTTGCGGTCGTACTGCCGGCTGGGGGGCAGCCGGTCGATCAGTTGGTAGTAGTACTGGCCGGCCCTCGTGAGCTCGCCGTTCGGGCGGCTGAGCATCGCGTAGCGGAGGTGGTGGTGTGTCAAAGGAAGGGTTTCTGAGCCTGCCGCCGAGGTCCTCGCCCTGACCCCGGCCTCGGCTGCTAGTTTGATGGCGTGTCGTTGTTGAGCCCAGCTCATGACTTTTGAAAACCCCGGCCGGAAAAAAGGTCGTCGCCCGAGCGGGCCCCCCTTCGCCGGGCAAGTCTTGTTGTGCAGTTTTTGGCTCAAGTCCTCGTGTACAGCTTCGGCTCTAGACCTACATGTTGTACAGCGGCTTGTACAGTTTTTGGCTCAAGTCTTCGCGTACAGCTTCGGTTCAAGCCCTCCCTGAACCCTATACTCCCTAACCCCTAAACCCTATATACGGCAGTTTTTTCGTTTTGATCTTGGCAGGGATCTTAGCATGTTTGCTTGATTTTTGCATGTTTTCGGCATGTTGGATGTTGAAGTGCTTGGGCCGCGCTCGCTTCCTCGAAGCAACAGCATTGAGAACAGCAGGCAACAACAGGCAGCAACAACAGGCAGCAAATCACAGGCAGCTACGGACTGCAGTCAGAAGTGCCTAGCGCCGTCTGTCCCCACCCACCCCCTCTGTAACCTAGAGTGGTTTGCGCTCCCCCTCTTCTCCCGGGAACCCCGGGCCCACTCTGTGGCCCAGGTGCTCAGAGGCCGGGGCCCGGCTCAGGCGGGGGGGGGTGAATAATGGAATCTGCGTGTATTGCCGTCGTCTGAGGAATGTGCTGTGCTAATTGCCTTATCAGAAGAAGCCGTAGCCATATGAGCTCAGTGATGTCGTCGTCTCCTTTCGCGGTAAGCCTTGACATGCCGGACGCGAGTATGCCAGGCCCTTCTCAAGGATTGGGGATTTCTTGTGAGAGCCAGGCATTCAACGACTTGACTGTCCGAGTGCTCCAAGCGTGCAATCAACAAGCCTTAGAAGAGAAGTCAGAAAGAGGCGCTGCAGCTGCAGTGTTTTGGTGCGGCTTTTTGTGCGGTTGCGTGCTTGAAGAGTTCCCCCGCCCTCTATTGCTTGTTTTGCCAGGCCTTCGTCTTCGTGACCTTCCTGGACGCGTACATCTTCGATCATCCTCGCCGGGCGCTCTGCCGCCCTTCAAGTGACCCAGTGCAGGAGTTCAGGGATGCTGCCGGCAGGGTTCTTGGGGTTTTGTAGGAGGGTTTCCCTTCCTTCCCGGACCCTCGTATAACCAGGTGCTCATCCAAAGCTTCTTCCTCGCCACCGTCTTCGAGATCTTCAAGTGCAGGCAGGGGCAGAAGGGGCGGGCAAAATTCCAGGGAGGGGGGCAGGTCGGGGCAGGAGGGACCAGGTGGAGGGCGTGACCCCGTGACCCCTTTTTGAGTCGGGACTGGGAGGCGTGACCCCGTGACCCCGTGACCCTCTTGAGTCGGGAATGGGAGGCGTGACCCCGTGACCCTTTTGAGTCGGGAATGGGAGGCGTGACCCCGTGACCCCGTGACCCCGTGACCCTTTTGAGTCGGGAATGGGAGGCATGACCCCGTGACCCCGTGACCCTTTTGAGTCGGGAATGGGAGGCGTGACCCCGTGACCCCGTGACCCTTTTGAGTCGGGAATGGGAGGCGTGACCCCGTGACCCCGTGACCCTTTTGAGTCGGGAGGCGTGACCCCGTGACCCCGTCGGGAATGGGATGGGGGACCACGCGGGGGGTCACGGGGTCACGGGGTCACGGGGGGGGTCCGGGGGCTCACGGGGTCACGAGGTCACGGGGGTCCGGACGGGCTCACGGGGTCACGGGGTCACGGGGGGTCCGGGGGGCTCACGGGGGTCACGGGGTCACCACGGGGGTCCGGGCGGCTCACGGGGTCACGGGGTCGAGGGGGTCAGGGGGGTCACGGCAGTCACGGAAGTCACGGGGGTCACGGGGGTCACGGGGGTTACGGGGGTCACGGGGTCACGGGGTCACGGGGGTTGCGGGGGGGCACGGGGGTCACGGGGTCACGCGACGGGGGGTTACTGGGTTACGGGGGCACGGGGTCACGGGGTCAAGCGGTCAGGGGTGACCGGTCACAGGGTCACGGGGGCACGCGGGGCCGCACAGACGTCGGGTCACGCAGGTGGGCCACACGTGTGACGGGGCGCCGGCCAGGGCGCTCGAAAGATTACAGGCCCTTCACTGCCCACCAGGCCCTCCCACCCCCACCTTCCTCCCACCCTGAGACTGGGGCCAGGGTTTCACATTTCACGGGCCTTTGCAAGTGGCAAGGCTTCAGATTTCATGGGCTTTGGGGAGTGTGCCGCCGCAAGGCCCGATCCCTGTCGAGAACCCCGACCGAGGCATCTTGCAGCAGTTGCCTGTGCACACTTGCAACTGCTTCGCATGTTGAATTGCAGTTGGTTAATTAAACACTTGGCCCGTGACTGAAATAGGGGGAGCTCGACCATTCGTTCATGCAGATTGCAGTGCTTTTGCTCGAGCCAGAGGACAGCTAGGACGATTGCCGCCATGAGCCGGCCTCCAGCAACATCGCGCAAGGTCGGGCGCGCTGTGGTGCTACTGGCGCTGCTCTGGGTGTCTCTGCCAGAGCCTAAGACCAGTGCTTTGAACAGTGTTAGAGGGTTTCCCGAGCAGCCTCAGGCGAGCAACGCAGACGGCGCGGGCTTTGCTAGGAGCGGGGGCCGTGCAGTTTCCAAGGTGGGATGTGATGTATGGCATGGAACGCCGAAGATCCGCAAGCCAGCGCGAGGTCGGTTCCTCCGGGAATATGGGCACAGAGCTTGCTGGTCGCACGCCGGGCCAAGGCGGGAAGCCGAGACCGACAGGAAATTCAGTGTTAAGCGTATGTCCTGAAGAGCTGAGGCTGGCGATGGTGAGGCCGAAGACAGTGAAGACGTCAAGGTGACAAGGGTTTTGTCGTGTTGTGTTTCTTGTGACTCACGCTAAAGCATGCCAAAGAAGGCTGCCCCATCACAGACCGCTGAAACGGTCGAGGATGCCAAGAAGGGGATTGCCGGGAAGAAGGCGTGCACTCATGTCCTAGGTGCTTGAAGTGTTTGGGTTGTCAGTCAGCTTCTGTTCGTGCCAGCACTTTGCAACTCCAGGCCCGAAAGGCAGGTTTTGCCATGTTTTGCCTTTCTGACCCGCTTCAACTTGTATGATGTAGGTGCTCCAAACGCTCAACTCTGCCAGCAGCACATGTCTGTTCGGGGTCAGTCCATGTTTGGAGGCTTCCTCAGCAAAGTATGAGGATGAGGTGGATGAGGTGGAAGAGGTGGAAGAGGCGACGACCGAGGCATGTGTTTTTGCTGGTGCGGGCTTCGCATTTCTGCGTGGCTCCTGCAGGCCAGAGCAGGCTTCGATCAGGCGGGATCCGTGAAGGCTCGCCGACTCTGGAGCATCGCTGAGGATGTGCCCCTTGCTGCAGGACGAGTGGCTGCAACAGACCGCTGACCAGATCAAGAACTTTACAGTGAAGCAGGCGATTGGCAAAATGTCTCTTTTGCTTGAGTTTCGAGTCCGGGCTGCTTGCAGGTATGTGACTGGGCGAAAGCAGTGCTGAAAGCGAAAGGTCTCGATGAAGGGTTGGCAGCGGAAGCGGCCCAGCGGTTGGAAAATGAGGCAGTGACAGGTGAAGTGCTCATCGGTGCTACAGCTCAAGAGTTGATTCGGGACTCCGGGATGAAGTTTGGCCCTGCGAAATTGCTGGTTAATCAGCTGCAAGCTTCCGGGGGCTCGGCGCCGCCGACGGCAGCGAGCGGACTCCAGGCCGGGGCCTTTAGCAGAGCTGGCTCGTGACATCATGGGTTTCGTCGGTTTCGTTTCTTTCGTGTCAGACCGGAGTCTCACAGGATCCCCTCCTCGTTAAGCTGGCTCCACACTGCCTTCTCGGTTTGTTCTTGGTGTCTTCAGTGCCAGCCTCACTGCAGTGTTTGGCAGCTCGTCGTTAAGCTTCAGTGTTGGCTTGCAGCACTTGGTGTTGGCTTGCAGCACTTGGGGAGTGGGAGGGGCTTTCGGATCAGAGGGCTCTTGGCTGCTTCAGGCTCATGCAAATCTAGTTGCTCCTCGTGTTTTGCCGATGCTTCAGAACGGGGTGTCAGTCCTAGGCTCGAGGTGGGGGGGTCAGCCTGTTTTGCGCTCTCGAGGTTGCGGTTGTTTTTGTTTGAGGCTCGACTTTCAGGTTACTGTGTCCGTGAGGGGGAGTCAAGGGACCTGGGTTCTTAGTGCTTTTAGCACGCGGACCTTGCCGAGCGGTGGGGTTCCGGCAAGACGAGTGCAGGACGGGGGCTTCTGCTTGGGCATGTTGCCTTTGGCTTGTAGCACTCCTGCCTGTCTGGAGCTCGTGGTCGTCGTGCGTTTTCGTGCGGTCCACCGTTGTTGCTTTTAGGGGTGATGCTTTCCTCTCAGGATCCCTCGTCGTTAAGGATAGGGGTTGGTTATGCTTGGCCGCAATTGGGGGGGTTAAGCCGCCGATGTTATCCCGATCTGAGGTTTTTATCAGGCCTGTGTCTTGTCGGATCCTAGGATTTTATCCCAGGAACATGGGTGCATATTATGCTTGCTTGGGTCGGTCACGGAAGGTGTATCCACAGTTTGTTGTCAGGGTCAGGCCCCAGGATTTTATCCAGAGTAATGTTCCCCCGTCTGTCTCTGTCCTGCACAAGGGTCGGGCCTGAGGATTTAATCCGCTGGGGCCTTGCCTGTCTCAATATGCTTTAGGTCCGTTTTTGCCTCCCCCGGAGAGGCTCAAGCCTAATGTCTACAAATCAAAATTTATCCTCGGAAAGGTTGGTTCACAAGGATTTTATCCAGATAAATTTGTGGCTTAACCCTTCGGCCCGTGTCCAACGGGCATGTTAAGGTGTCTGCACTGTGTTGGCTTGCAGCAGTTCGGGGAGCGGGAGGGGCTTTCCGAGCAGAGGGCTCTTGGCTGCTTCAGGTTTCACGCAAATCTGGTCTAACCTCGTGTTTTACCGGGTGTTGGTGTTGGCAGTGAGGCTCGGGGTGAGGGTCTGCATTGCTCTCACGTTTGTTGCTGCGCATGTGACTCAGGTTACCATATCGGTGTTTGCGTGCTTGGCCACCCTTTTCTGTTGTGACTTGTTGGGGGGCAAGGCGAGCCCGACGGTGGGGGCCCATTGCTGTGCTGCGGGGATTGACGACAGGTGGTTGCTTCGTGGGTACCAGGGAGGTTTTTGTCCAGTTCAGGTTTGGCTTCGGTTGCTGTTCTAATTGCTTGGTTTGATAACTTGCAGAAGGCTGCCCCCCCGCTTGAACAGGACTGGTGCAGCAGGCTGCTGCAGAAGAAGCTTACGTTCGGGCAAGGCACCCCGCTACTTTCGACAACCGGATTCGATTGGGATTATTGCGGCAAGGAAGACCTGGTTGAAGACATGCGGGCCTCCGTTCAGAAGCTGCATGACAAAAAAGGGCGCGGACCAGACAAGCAGGCTCATCCCTTGTTTATCGCGTTCGCCGGCCCCGGCCAAGGCAAGTCCCGACTGCTCACAGAGTTCCCGGGCCTGGTGGCAGAGTGTCTCAAAGATCTCAAGAACCGCAGGTTCAGTGACGAGCCGCTCGCCTTTCTCCTCACCTGCGAGAACGGCCTGGGGCCTGGGGACTGGGGCACAGAGGAGCTCAACGCCCGGCGCTTCGTGGCCTGCCGCATGCTCTGGCAGCTGCGAGAGGCCAACCAGCAGGCTTTCGACGACACAGGCGCCCCACAGGACTTTGCGCAGTTCCGTGCCAGTTGCTCGACCACTCTCTCGGCGATGGATGTGCTTCAACAAGTACTGCCTTCTGACCAGATCGGCAAGGCCACAGTGGTGATCGGCTTGGATGGCATGCACAACCTGCCGGGATTCCCGCAGCGTGGCGAGAAGGCAGGCAAGGAGGCGCCCTTCTACCAAGTGATACAGGAGGTCTGCCGCCTCATAAACCAGGATACTCCCCCATTCGTTGTGGCATGCGTGACAGCGACGCAGAGTGTGTCTCAGGGCCTGGCTGATAGCCCACAAGCCCGCCAGTACTTAAAGCTGCCACGGGTGACGGCAGTCACCAGGCAGCAGCTGGCTGCCATCCCCAATCATCCTTTGAGAGACCTCCTGGCAATGGACATGGGCGGCCATGGCAGGGCCCTGGAATCCCTCGAGGAGTCCTTGAAGGGCATGCCGAGCGCGCCCACCAGTGCTCTTTTTGGCGCAGTCATGCAGCGCTTGCGGGAAAAATACCCCGGTGCTGTAAGCTTTGACGGCGCGAGCGTCAAGGATTTGATTGATGTGCTGCGAGCATGTCTTTCAGGCAAAGTGTTGAGTCGCGGCCAGACCCTTGGCAGTCTCAATCCTGAGCAGATGGAGTTGATCCGAATCGAGTATCTTGACTCATCCGCAGAAGAGTACCGCATCGGCATTCCCTACATTTGGCTGCAGCTGACACTCTCGCAACAGAGGCTCACTTCAGACTTGAAGCCATGGGCACTCATGGACTACACGTACTTTGAGAGGCCAGAGGCGCAAAGTTGGCAAGCGTGGGAGCAGTTCAATGCCGAATTCCGCGTGTTGCGCTCTTACAGCTTTGAAGACGGACAAGCAGTCAAAATTGGCTTATTACACAGAGGTGCCATCATCCGACCATGTGACTTCGAGGACCAAGAGGTCGTCAACCGGCACCTGACACTCGCAGAAGCAAAAAGCAGGCTGTCATCCAGAGCCTCGTGCTGCGGCCATCCCAAACCACACATCAACTGGAAGGACAGCAAGCCGGCCAAGGGCCTGAAAAAGTTCCAATGCCGCGTCACCTTAGCCGGCAAAGATGTTGTTGTGTCGATGGCCGACAAAACCACACTGGTGGTAAACCGTGCCGGAGCTCCCGCTGCCGATGCGTTTCTCATGCTGGGCGAACGGACAGCTGGCAACGAGCAGCTTATCTCGGAATGCCTGCAGTTTAAGATGGGCTCAAGCATCGTCAAGGCGACCGAGGAGCGCCACAAAGCCTGCGACAACAACGACATCCTGGTGCTGCTTCTGAATAGGGCTGAGAACTCACCAGCATCCCAGGACAGACTGGTTTTTGTTTCTGCCGAACAATTTGAGGAGTACTATGGCTTGTATGCCGGCCGTGCGTTTCTGCTGAAGGATGTCAAAATTGCGCAGGATCCATGCGTGAACGTGCCTTTCTGTCCCGTGCACTTGCTGAGTTGAGGCTGCGTGCGGGTGAGGACTTTATCGTGTCCAGTGACACGCTGCGAGGTTCTGACGAGATGAAGATGCTATCTGGAAGTGAGAAGTTGTGCCAGGCACTTACCAAGGTCATGTGCAGGCGGGCCTTGGGAGTAGATAGCTTGCTGACACTGGCATCCCGTTGAGTGCATTCTGTGTTCCCTGCTGAGCACATGTTGAGGTTGCTGCGAGGTCAATTGTCCGTCTTGCAACTGTAAGGCCCGACTCCCTGTGACTTCAATCCTTGATGCAGTGCTTTCTCAGCCGAACAGTCTGCTCTTAACCCCTCAAGGCTTCCCAGCTCCTTTACTTCCCCCACACGGGCTGCGACGCCTTCGCCGTTGTGCAGCGTCGACCAGCGTTGCAGGGCTGTGCGAGTGCAAGCTTGCGGTGTAGGTGCCAGCCTCTGCAGTATGCAATCAGAGCGGACCTGCACTCTTGCTCGGCCGGCTTTTGCTTTACTTGACAAAAGCGTGTGCTCCACGACAGTCGGCCGATGAATTTGCTTTCCACTGACGAACTGCACGAATCATGGTCATGTCGCATATCTTTATCTTGATGTTCAGCGCACTCAAGCTCTGGACACATGTTTTTTGCATACAGTTTGCTGCAAGCAGGATTTGGATTGCAACATAGTTGACTGGACCGTCACACTGACGACAATGCAGCACTCAGTCTGCAGCACACATCAGTGTGCGGCAATTCTGGATCGAGTCTGCAAGCATCGGGTGAAATTTCGGCTAGTCTGTTGAAGTCTTTGTATCCCGCGAGTATCGCACTCAAGGCGCGAGTTGACGGCTATGCAATTTCCGAGTCGAATCTTATGAGGACGATCAGCCCAAAGCCGCAGTGGAAGTCGAACCTTCCAAACCTCGACCCCGCCAGGCCACACCATGGCCCAAAAGATTTTACGCGCATTTTACGGGCACTTTTGACCCTTCTAAAAGCCAGCCCTAAGCCCTCAGGACCGCCTTTTCGAACGAGTTCCCGCCAATTCAGAGAGGAAGGACTTGCCCCCACAACCAAACAGCCAGAGGCCACGCCACAACAGAGGCCAGTTTTGAAACACAGATACAAGAGAGAGCTTTTGCGTTTTTTGATGCAAACCTAACTCGGTTTTCGCGTGGTCGCGGTGCTAAAACCGCAGTGTTTTTGCATTTTTTTCGACTTGTGTAGCACAGACGCAGTACGTCGAGGACTTGCGTGAGCTAAAGCTCCGACATCGACGGCGTAGACCGCAAACCGCCTTTTCACTTTGGTCGTCCTAGGACCTCTTGCACACCTGTTTTCTATTGGCTCTCTCCTTTTCGTTGTGTTGTTGCTTGGTTGCTGTGTTGTTGTTCTGGTCTGCACGCCTTTTTTTTTGAACTTTGACACAAACGGACATGAGCTGACGCTGTAGCTTTTTCACCTAAAAAAACCATGTTCTTCCAAACAGTATTTCATCGATGTCTAGAAAAATTTACAGCGTAAAAGACGCAGCCTTCCGCTTGTTTTGGGCTGTTCTTCCAATTGAGACTTTCCTACCTGACGGTCCAAAGTCGACAGCTTCACTCTTCTCCCATCGTTCGAGAAACATCTGTCCTGGCTGCAGCCCAGTGGAGGTCGCTAGCATCGGCTACACACATGCAAATGAGTGCTAAATGCCAGTTTGCAATGACTGTGCACATTTCAAAACAAAGCCGAAGTTGCAGGGATGTATTGCTTGATGACTTCATGAAAAATTTTGTATCAACGGGGCTGAAAGGGCAGAAACGGCTTGGAGTCCAAGACCTTGAAAAGCGCGAGCTTCAGACAGCCGTTGCACCCGTGGTTTTGCTGCAAATTTCTGCAACGAAAACTTGGAGTCTCAAGAAGCAGTCGCTGCACCCACAGTCGTTTGCTGTGGCGCGCATCTTTGATGACCAAGACAAGTGATGCGGTCGGCAAGCGGCGTTAAGGACCTTGTTTTTTTGCAAGCCAAACACTGAGGATTGCAACATGTCTCGAATCCCGGGGTGCAAATGGCAGTTGCCATTGTGAGAGGGATATTTTCGCTTGCATGAAGTTGCATGACGGTTTCATGATGTTGCACGATGTTGCATGGTGTTGCGCGAAACGCGATCTGCCAGGGCTTCTGGGCATGTACTGCGCTCACTTTGCGGAGGGCATCAATGCTCTGTAGGTGGATCCCTGCCCGACATACAATCCGGGCTCCCATGTTTAGGGGGTTCTTATGGGGTCGGTTGATGTGTGTCTGCCAATTCTACAACAACTGGAATCAAACAACTCCCAAGACGAACGTAATAAACCTACCAAACATACATTTTGCTGCCCTGTCGATTCCCAGGAGCGTATTGTATTTTAAGGGGGGGGGGGGTTAAAAAGTAGTTAGGGCCGAGTATGTTTGCGGCATGCCCCTTGAAAAGATTGGGGAAGGAGTTCCAAACTTATCTAAACCCCCCAAACCCTCCAAGCCCCACAAGACTGACAAATACGCTATCACGGTGTAGCTAGAAGCAGGCCACGTGTCTTCGATGCACTCAGATGTCATGGAAACGTGAAAGGTTGGACGTCGCGTATTGTTTTGCCCCGCCCCACCCCCCTCCCCCCTGAAACGGTCATTTTCCCCGAGGGGCCGATGGTGCAACATGCCGCAACGCGTTACCCAATTGCAGCGCAGAAACATCTCCTTTGAGACCGCAAACAAGTTTGCATGCAGTCTACACACGTGCAATGCAGTTTGTTTATGGGTGAAGCTTCGTTCATGCAGCGTTGTTGCTCAGGGACACTGAGACAGAGGCCAGCTCGCCAGCTCCAGTTCGACCCTCCATATCGAACGATGTCCGCTGCTGTGGTGGGTCTTCCGCTGATGCATCTCCGGCAAAGACGTGAACAGCCTGAGCAAGTGATGGACTCAATGGACTGCGTCGACGCGGAGGACAGTATGGCAGCTGCGGAGTGCCCCAACGTTCGCAGCAGGGCTCGAGCCGGCAAGACGAAGCGGCAAGTGGCGGATGCGGTGACCCGGCAGGCGCCCGACCTCACCCTGGAGGAAGCTGCGGCCCTCTTCACTGAGGACACCACCACCGTCATGATCCGAAATGTGACCAACCGTTACATCCCGGAAGAGTTCGTTTGCGAGGTGCTCGACGCCGGTTTCGAGGGGACGTTTGATTTTTTTTATTTGCCCATGGACTTTAGCACCAAGAGAAACCGTGGATACTGCTTCTTGAACTTCCACTCAGCCAGCTGTGCCCGACAGTTCATGCAGATCTTCCATGGGCGCAAGCTGAGTCGGTACAACACGAAGAAAAGTCTTCAGATTGTCCCGGCTGCTTTGCAGGGCCTGGAGAAGAACATGTCTGCTTTGAAAGGCGGCGCCGACCGCATCAAGAACCAGTGGTTTCGGCCCATGGTGTTCAGTGACCCAAGTGTGGAGGAACTCTGTGGGGAAGATGCCTAGGCTGCGTCGCCGTCGACCGAAGTGCTGGTCACATGTACATTAACGCGAGGCTTGACAGCCAAAGTCATGCAGATTACTGCAGATTGAAACTTGTTTGATTTCTTAGCGTGTCTACTCGCCAATACCATCTTGCAAAGTGTACAGCAGGCAGCACGAACAGCCGTGACCCCTCTTTCTTTGTCTCTCGCGCGCACTGCCTGTCTGTGCTGGTAGTGGGGTGAAATCGAATGGTCGCAAACGTGAGTCATCCTAAGCTGCGGTCACGACAGTTTTTCTGCTGCCTGGGCGTTGCCTGTGACGCTGCCTAGCATCCCAATTCTCGTCAGAGTTTTGTTTGTGATGGGAAGGACAGTATCTCGCTTCAGCTAGGGCCTGTTAGGCTCTGGGGTGAAGATTTGGGTCTGGCAACGTTACAAGCGGTCTGGCGGGCTGCGGGAAGATGCCACTTCACTTTGCCACCAAAGCGAGGGTACTTCGGTTGGCATCGTACGAAGCTCAGTTCATGGGGTGGACCGGGGGAGGATCTGTAGGTACCTGTAGATACGAGAGCTTCAGTTGAATAGGTGTCGTATGCTGTTGTTCTTTGTTGTTTTTTGTTGGTGATGTGTGCTAGATTCGCCTCCAGGTTCGCCATCAACTTAATTGAGCCAATTTTAACTCTCTGGCTGCGGGGCAAATTTCTCTGACAGATGCCAGACGGTTCGGTTCGGGTTGGTGGAGCGAGAAGTGCTTTTCCAGCTAACGTTTGCCTCACTTCACGGCGACAGGTCCGGAGCTGGGGTCTGCCCATCACTTGTGATCCCTTCCTAAACCCCTCAAACCGGTTCAAGATGCATCAACTTAGGAGTTTCTCATTGGGGTGTCCCTTGCACGACTGGGAAAAGTGGTGGCGTAAAAGGCTGTACTCACAGTCGCTGAACCTGTATAGTGGCTGCTTCAACAGCCAGTTCTTGTGAAGAACTTGCTGGGGAATGTTTCAGGCCCGCTTGGAGAGATCATGGGCGGGCAATTGCACTCCATGCTCAGACTTCCCTTTAATTTTCTGACTGTGTCGAGAGTCGAGTGAGTTGTCTTGGCCTCTTTGCTATCTGTATCTCATTCAATCTCTCCGGGCATGGCTTGACATGAGTCTGATGGGGCGGACTCTTGCACCGTGCTGACTTGGGGGATTCTCGCCGAAGAGTGCAGGATGGCAGTGTAGTACCAGCACAGGGTTCAGAGTTTCGATGTCAGGAAAGGCGCGGCTGCAACCTTCGTAGCTCGGCGTTCGTGGAACATGCCTCTCCGAGTCGTAATTTGATTCGAGAAGCCGATCCACCTGTTTTCCCTGGGCGTGTAACTTACTCACGACTTGCAGTCAAGTGAGAGCGACGATATCCAGCTGCCATTGACGTGTCAAAAAATTCTTTGGCCGGTAGGCTAACATGCGATCTGCGAGCCATGCTGTATCTAAAACACAACATGGCAACCACCGAGAAGCAAGGTCATGTAGGTTGATCTCCTCATTTAGACATGTCGTTCGGTCGCTCCAAACCCATACGATCTCGCCCTCCCCCAACTCCCTGAACTCTGACCTCAAACCGCCATTCGCAACGCGCGCAAATAATGACAAATGCAACAGCCTGGGGTTTGTAGGAGGTCGATAATACAGAGTTTTGTTGTTATGCCTCGGTAAGGTTTTACGGCTTTCTTGGCTAAGGTGGCAGTCTCGGCGGAAGCATTGCAAGCTACAGATCAGTGGCATCGCCTGCGACTCAGATAGATGCCAGCGGGGCAGAACTGGCCTCCGCGAGCTTCCGCAAAGCCGAGGAAGGGTAGACATGGTAGACTCAGAGAGACCTGTGCGAACTGAGGGAAATGTTAGACGAAGTTGGCCACGGGGCGGGGGCTTGAACGTAATTAGTGCCAGCCTTGCCTGCTCTGAGTGTTGCCATGTGTTGCCTCCCTTTGTTGTTGCCCAAAGAAGCCCTTTCGAGTCTGAAGTCCGAGCTGAGTGTGGCAATCCAAAAGACTAAATAGACTAAATAGACCCGACACGCTATTTGGTGGTGGTAGGGGATTCGGTGAGACGTGGTGCTTGATTGGCAGCATTGTGCGGGCTCAGGCGGCACTGTGCGTAACCCCTTCCAACACCAGCCTGCAACAGAAGGCATAGATATCCTCCAACTCTTGTTACTTTGCTACCATGGCAGGCTTGGAGAAGATAAGTATTTCAGGCTCTATAGGGAATCATCAAAAAAGGTCGGTCACAGAGCCCCTCACGAGCGGAGCTGAAGACGAAAGCCAAGCTCGCCGGGGGGTTTGATCTTCGAGGGTAGGATTTGTGGCCTGGGCTTTGCCAGTGCCCTTGGAGGCTCTGGAGGCCATTGGGCCCCACCGTGGGGCTTTTCGAATGGTTACGACTTTTCTGCTCCATGCGCAGTTATTTGGTGTGTCGACGGCGTTCGTTTGTTGGCTTTCTTGGGAATTTCTAAGTTGTTCTATCGTATGGATCAACCTTGGAATTCTTGGTGCTGTCAGTTGGTGGCATGTGTGAGGACTGTGAGAGCAGTCTGATCCTGCTGAATGTTTGCTGTGAAGCCTCAGCTACGTTACATGACAGCAAGTGGGTTCCTGTGTGGGAAGCCTGTCGGTGTAGTCGTCAACGTGCAAGGGTATGTTGGTGATGGCTCTACATTTTCGGATTATGGGATGCTTGATTTTACCTGATGCACGAGATTCGGGTCAGGTCCCGGTAGGACAAAATCCACATCCAGTCAGGCTACGTAGAAGTCTGCTGTGGTGCGCTTCCTTTGTGTGACTTCTTCTTTCGAGGTGCCGCCTTTGTTGCCCCCACCGGGCCCACCAGCAGCCGGACCACCGCGGCTACCACCTTCCGGCGAGGACAACAGGCATGGGGCATTCAGGAAGTTCACCGACACCCTAGGAGCCTGGGAGTTTTAACTTAGTCCAGCTTCGAGGTTCCTGCATGCAGGGCATATTTTGTGGTGTCCTAAAATCAATTGTCAAGATGGTCAGTGCCAGGGCCCAGTGCCTTTCGAAGCTTATCCGCCTTTGAGGGCTCTAAATGCATTCTCAGGTCAGGGCTCGCTTTCTGAGTCGCTCCCACCCCACGTGTTTGGTGCCCCTGATAGTTTTGTTTTTACAGGATGACCCCGCTGTGTATCCCTGACCTCACATGCTCCTCAAAAGATTTGGGAAGTGTGGGGTGTTGAGTTTCGGTGTATATGCCTTCGACAGGCTTCGGATTCGAGCGAGAATTTTCTGGGTTTATTCGTGAATCGTTGAGGGCATAAAATATGTTGTCAGTGGTGGAGCTTCATGTTATCTAGCTGTATACAAAACCTGTTTCTCGCCGGCGTAGCTGCCGAAAGGGACTCGTAGTGTGAAAGAAGACTGTGCAAACACCCTTTTGCCTTCTAATCTCGTGGACGCCTTTTCCTTGCAATTTCGATGCACTGAGCAGCCAGTGAATTGCCAAGCAACCAGGAATTCTTGCACTGAGCACGGAAACCCTGAATTGAAAACCATGCCTGAAACCTAATACGGTATTCCGTCCAGTTCACGCAATCGCAGTCCAGCCCGGCGTCCTTGCTAGCCAGGCGGGAGGTTTGCCTGTATCAGAAGTGAAACGCGCATGGCATTTGACAGTGTTGTCTTGTTTGGTGATGTGTGTTTGTTCGTTCGTTATTTTGTTTGTTTATGTCGCACTGGCCAGCTTGCTTTCAGGATTGCTTGTAGGCAGACAGGCTGTTGCGAAAAGCTTCCTTTGGTTCTTAGGGTGGGAGAAGCTGGCTATGACCAGCTATGATGCCTTGCGAATATGTTGTGTCCTCCGTGGGAACAGGCCTGTTGAAGAGAGCGCATGCCTAACATGGAGCAGAACCATGTCCATAACCTTGTGGCTTAAACCTTGATAGTTTTTGGCCTTTGCAACAGCGGCCCAGTGGTCAAGAGTAAGTGAAACCCTGAGAAAAGCTCAGGGCAAGGCGGAACTGCGAGCTGGCTGTTGCCGGTGACCAAAAGCTTAGCCGTTCTTGCTGTCTGAAGCACAAACAAGGGCCCAAATCGGTTGATTATACCATGAAAACCGGCTTTGCAAGTACGTTTTGAAGAAGCCAACTCGGGTAGTTTTGGTCATCCTAAGAAGCCTTGTTGTGAGGCCTTTGCGTCCAAGTTCACGACAGCCCTCCGGTGCCTTCCAGCAGGCACCGCCACCTTCGGGGCCACCTTCGGGTTTTTTGTTTCCAATTCCGCTTCTTGATGATCAGGAACTTTGAGGGCTTTTTGCATATTTTTTGATGTCATGTGCAAGGGTGGACCCTGTATATTGTTTTGCTCCCCGATTTTGGGCCATCTTTTCCCCGGGGAGCCCGCGGTGCAACATTCCTCAGCACATTTCTTCTCTTGAGAGCGCAAACAAGGTTGGGACCCACCTGTTTATGCACCATACCAGTTTGCTTCAAGACACATGCAATTTGTCGTTATGCCTCGTTCTTGCAGCGTTTTTGCTCAGCGACGTTGAGACAGAGGCTAGCTCGCAGCATCGACACGGAGGACAGTATGGCAGCTGCGGAGTGCCCCAACGTTCGCAGCAGGGCTCGAGCCGGCAAGACGAAGCGGCAAGTGGCGGATGCGGTGACCCGGCAGGCGCCCGACCTCACCCTGGAGGAAGCTGCGGCCCTCTTCACTGAGGACACCACCACCGTCATGATCCGAAATGTGACCAACCGTTACATCCCGGAAGAGTTCGTTTGCGAGGTGCTCGACGCCGGTTTCGAGGGGACGTTTGATTTTTTTTATTTGCCCATGGACTTTAGCACCAAGAGAAACCGTGGATACTGCTTCTTGAACTTCCACTCAGCCAGCTGTGCCCGACAGTTCATGCAGATCTTCCATGGGCGCAAGCTGAGTCGGTACAACACGAAGAAAAGTCTTCAGATTGTCCCGGCTGCTTTGCAGGGCCTGGAGAAGAACATGTCTGCTTTGAAAGGCGGCGCCGACCGCATCAAGAACCAGTGGTTTCGGCCCATGGTGTTCAGTGACCCAGGTATGGAGGAACTCTGTGGGGAAGATGCCTAGGCTGCGTCGCCGTCGACCGAAGTGCTGGTCACATGTACATTAACGCGAGGCTGGACAGCCAAAGTCATGCAGATTACTGCAGATTGAAACTTGTTTGATTTCTTAGCGTGTCTACTCGCCAATACCATCTTGCACAGTGTACAGCAGGCAGCACGAACAGCCGTGACCTCTCTTTCTTTGTCTCTCGCGCGCACTGTCTGTCTGTGCTGGTAGTGGGGTGAAATCGAATGGTCGCAAACGTGAGTCATCCTAAGCTGCGGTCACGACAGTTTTTCTGCTGCCTGGGCGTTGCCTGTGACGCTGCCTAGCATCCCAATTCTCGTCAGAGTTGTGTTTGTGATGGGAAGGACAGTATTTGGGTCTGGCAACGTTACAAGCGGTCTGATGGGGTTGCGGGAAGATGCCACTTCACTTTGCCACCAAAGCGAGGGTACTTCGGTTGGCATGGTACGAAGCTCAGTTCATGGGGTGGACCGGGGGAGGATCTGTAGGTATCTGTAGATACGAGAGCTTCAATTGAATAGGTGTCGTATGCTGTCGTTCTTTGTTGTTTTTTTTGTTGGTGATGTGTGCTAGATTCGCCTCCAGGTTCGCCATCAACTTAATTGAGCCAATTTTAACTCTCTGGCTGCGGGGCAAATTTCTCTGACAGATGCCAGACGGTTCGGTTCGGGTTGGTGGAGCGAGAAGTGCTTTTCCAGCTAACGTTTGCCTCACTTCACGGCGACAGGTCCGGAGCTGGGGTCTGCCCATCACTTGTGATCCCTACCTAAACCCCTCAAACCGGTTCAAGATGCATCAACTTAGGAGTTTCTCATTGGGGTGTCCCTTGCACGACTGGGAAAAGTGGTGGCGTAAAAGGCTGTACTCACAGTCGCTGAATCTGTATAGTGGCTGCTTCAACAGCCAGTTCTTGTGAAGAACTTGCTGGGGAATGTCTCAGGCCCGCTTGGAGAGATCATGGGCGGGCAATTGCACTCCATGCTCAGACTTCCCTTTAATTTTCTGACTGTGTCGAGAGTCGAGTGAGTTGTCTTGGCCTCTTTGCTATCTGTATCTCATTCAATCTCTCCGGGCATGGCTTGACATGAGACTGATGGGGCGGACTCTTGCACCGTGCTGACTTGGGGGATTCTCGCCGAAGAGTGCAGGATGGCAGTGTAGTACCAGCACAGGGTTCAGAGTTTCGATGTCAGGAAAGGCGCGGCTGCAGCCTTCGTAGCTCGGCGTTCGTGGAACATGCCTCTCCGAGTCGTAATTTGATTCGAGAAGCCGATCCACCTGTTTTCCCTGGGCGTGTAACTTACTCACGACTTGCAGTCAAGTGAGAGCGACGATATCCAGCTGCCATTGACGTGTCAAAAAAGATCTTTGGCCGGTAGGCTAACATGCGATCTGCGAGCCATGCTGTATCTAAAACACAACATGGCAACCACCGAGAAGCAAGGTCATGTAGGTTGATCTCCTCATTTAGACATGTCGTTCGGTCGCTCCAAACCCATACGATCTCGCCCTCCCCCAACTCCCTGAACTCTGACCTCAAACCGCCATTCGCAACGCGCGCAAATAATGACAAATGCAACAGCCTGGGGTTTGTAGGAGGTCGATAATTCTCCAAGTTCAATTGCATTTGCTGCTCGATTTTTGGCTGGTTGTTCCAAAGAGGAGAAGCATCGACAATTGATTTTCCGACCCTGAAACCTCATCACCGTTGCCCCTGGCAGGCAGCGCATCAATGGGTGCATCATACGATCCTGAGTGAATGGCTCTTGGATTGCTATTCGTGTCTCCCGAAGCTTGTCAACACCGTCCGCTTCGGCGATTTCGCTTGGCCGAGCAGGCATCGAGAAGTTTTGACACTTCGTGCAGCGCTTTGGCCAACGAATGCACTTGCCGGAACATACGTGTGTTTGGTTGAGTGGTTCACTCCCAGCGCATTGATCACTTGCTTGACCATGGTGTTCACCAGCCTTTGCATCCGGTTCTTGTACAGGCTGGCAGGCACCATGAACCGCAAAGGGCAGCAGCTCGACCGAAAGACATGCTAGGCACGTCGGGTGCGGCTGCTAGCAGCCGGCAGATGAACTGCGCAGCCTCGACGCCGGCTCACAAGCTCCAGCACAAACACGATAAGGCGGCACCGGGGGGGAACGACTAAATTCAGGGTAGATGGGTTCCTTCGCCTGTCGAGCGCGCAGTGCTGGGGCATTTTCCCGGGCTGCAACCATGCCAAGTGGACGGTTGAGTGGATCGGAAATTGAATCGTCGCTTGTCAACGTCCGCGCATCATATGCAAAATCGAGCATCGCATCATACATGTGAGCCACGTTGCGGTCGTTTGCCCTTGGGCCTGAGCGGAAAATTTGCTCCGTGTGGAGTGTCTAGGTTTGCGTGCATGGTTAGCCTCCGTCTGGCTATGCTTGCTAATGTTCCTCCCATGACACTTTCAATGACACCAGCATCACGGGAGGCCCACGGCCTTCCCTCCTGCCATGCATGGTCACCTGGCTCAAGGGATGGGAACAGGATGCACGGTGAGCAGTTGGCATGCTGCGAGGCTATATGAAGTAGGGTTTATATTTCTGTTTTTGGTGAGTGTATATAAGGTTCCGTTTTAATCTTGGTGAGTGTATATACCTGGTGTCCTTTTGGGGGTACAAGAAATATAAACCCTACTTCATATGGGGCAGTCGCGATCGGGGACTACTTGAGCTTCTCCGGCGCCGGGACGAGGCTGCTGAGTGCACCTTGTGCAATGTTTGGTTCCCAAAGCAATGCCTCCGGCCCTTTTCTTCGCTATTTGCGAATGAACGGTCCAAAGCTGTGCCTCTGACTGCTTGTTGGATGGCATTGACGAAAGGCTCTGCAAGCGCCATACGTGCACCCGGCCGAGGCGGCCGCTCGCACTGGTTGGGGGGTGGGGTGTTGCGCACGCAGACCAAGTCGCGGAGGAAGTGGCAGGCCCTATCGTTTGGCCGACGCACCTGCATCCTCGCTGTCCGCGCCCGGCCGCGGTTCCCCGTTCAAGTGAGAACCCTTGCGTGGCGGACAGCACCGCCGGTCCTGCCAGCCGCCTGCTGAGGCTTGGCCTGGAGGTGATTGCAACGTGAATCACTTTTGCAAAATTGCATGGCTGGTTTTCCCGCAATTGGTTGCTACATGCTTGCCGTGGCCCTCATGTTCGCGGCGACGACGATTCAACGCGCCGAATTTGTCTGCGCAGGGTTGCCATCACGGAACACAATACTATACGGGGCACCCTGCGTGAGCTTTGGCGGATGCTGCAGAAAAGGACCGAAAAACAGTCCTGTACTTTTTTGGCAATAAAGCGACCATGCTTGCATCTGGAGTTGCAAGGCGCCATGCCCAAAATGTGGGCCACTTGACTCCCGAACGCGCGTGCGACATGCTGCAATTGTGCTGGGCTGGGATTTTGGGTTCCCGGCTCGGCCTTGTTCCCTTGCCATGCTCGCACCCCCGCGGGGTCCCCCCTTCAATAAATGCAGACAAAACTTTGTCGATTAAGACTGATGTTTGTCAACAAAACTTACTAAAAAATGAAATTTGAACAATAGACACACAAAAAAAGGTTTAAACAGATGAACGTGGGGCCCGCCAAAACCCGAAACTTCGAAGACGTTTCTTTGTGCAAAGTGCGGCTTGTTCTAACCTGGGGTTTCGAAGATTCGAAGATGAATTTTCTGTTTACTAAATCTGATTGGAAGGAAACATCGAATTTTGGAAAACAAAACTGTCTGTTATCCAAATTGTGAATAGGCAACAATTTGTCTACACAAGTTTTGGGGTCAGAACTGGACAAAATGGTCCTAGCGCGATTCAGAAACTGCACGCGATACAGGATTCAGGAAACTACGCGATTCAGGAAACTAACCGAGACAGGAAACTGAAAACGTGCGATTCAGGAAGCTGCGATTCAGGAAACCACGCGATTCACGAAACTGAAAGCACGCTGTCCAGGAAACTGCGCGATTCAGGAAACTGAAAACGCGCTGGGGGGGTGGGGGGGGTGGGGGGCCTGAATCAGCTGGCTTCCGACCGCGCGCTCCAGTTTCCTGAGTCAGCTGGTTTCCCGAATCCTGGTTTCCGAATCCGCGCTTTCAGTTTCCGAATCCGCGGTTTGAAGTTTCCCGAATCCCCGGTTTTCGAATGCGCGTTTTCCAGTTTCCTGAATAAGCGGGTTTCCCGAATCCTGGTTTCCTGAATCAGCGCTGTTAGTTTCCCGAATCAGGCTTCTTCTAGTTGCCGAATCAGGTTTTTCCAGTTTCCGAATCCGTGTGTTTTGTACATAAATCGGTCCCTGTTGTCTACCCAGTAAGCCTCGAACAAGCTGCGGGTTACACTTTGAACAAACTTCGTGTAAAACTTCGAAGAAACTTCGGGTAAACTTCGGGTTGCTTTCTCAACCACCACGACAGCAAGACCGGCAGAAACAAAACCAACAGACACACTTGCTTGAAACTTCGGATAAACCGCCGAAGCTCGGGGTCCCGCCGCCATTTACCCCACAGCTCGCGACCTGCATGGGTTCCCCCACCCCTCGTCCCACAGCCAAGCTCACATCCCACGTCGCGGGCATCCCGTGAAATGTCGAGCGCTGCTTCAGCACTTGCGCCCGCGAGCTCGGGAGGGAGCATTTTCTCAAAAGCAGTTCTGACGAGTCAGGCTCAGCCCCGGATCACGTATGGTTGCATTCGGATACGAGAATCGGTCCAAACACACAAGTGGTTAGCATGCCTTCTTTCATAGTCAAATGATCATGCTTGTATCGATGCATCAGAAACGGTTCGCGCATTCAGGGCAAACCAAGTGGATGTTGTGCGATGTTGCGTTACGAATGGCAGAGCTTCGCAGGAGGTCGTCGCCAGATGTACCAAGATCATGTTTCGCAGATTTGATACCGAATGCAAACGAATCGCGTGTGGTCCACCAGCCGGATTGGATTGGAGTACCTCGGCATGGAATATTGCATAATTGTGATG